CCAATTGGCATCTATTTCATAATTTGGTTTGATTTATATTAATATGCAAAATATATAAATTAGAATATTGAATAATTATTTTAATTAATTGTGATGATAGAAGGCGCAGTTCTCTTGCTGGACACTTCACAGGCATTGAAAATAAGCAGGATGAAAAAAAAACGCCTAGAAAGTCATAAACTTTATTACAAATAAATTTCAACGTAAGAACCATCCGCCGATGCATACTTTCACCAGGAATGACCCACGTTTCGCATTTCCTTTACACTACATTTAATAATATCGCAGTCCTCTACGCCATAGACATTGTTTTGACGATGTGGTCTAAACAAACACGTGATTGTTTTACGCTCAGAGTATCATAGCAAGACGCACGCGTGAATACTACTCAGGTCGTCTCTCAATTGCGAAATCATTCTACCATGAAATGTAACGTGAGGCTCAGAAAGGGATAAATAATGAAAGAACAGAAAGTATTTGTCACTTTTCGGTTGAAACGACTCGATAATAAATACTATTTTTCACATTTTGCTTCACAATACTCGATAGAAATGTGATGTAAGTAACTTATTAGCACCTTTCCTCGGTGTATCGGTGAATATCAGGACAGTTTTGGTCGAGGAAACACCTCGGCTCCGCCTCGGCTGGGCCCCTCGACCAAAACTGTCCTGATATTCACCGATACACCTCGGAAAGTGTGCTAATAACTACTACTTACATGTACATGAATCATACCAAGAGGTGAGATATTGCAGGTAATAATAGATGTATTTAAGACTGGATGACATTCAGTAAAATAAGGTGTGTTGACAGGCTGTATTGTTTATATGCTATCCACATAGTATTAAAGACTGGATAATTGTTTCTCTGATGTTAGAAACCAGTCACAATCAGGACATTTTGAAAACATGAAATAATTGATTATGATATAGATGACAGAAAGCAGGGAATGATATAGATGATAAAAAGCTTGAAACAATTTATAATAGATATGATAAAGAACGTTTTTACATCGTGTCTTTTATCAGGAACTATATAAAAGGTATGTTTATATAAAATAATAGAGATCTGGGTTAATTGGATTTCATAGCTAAACACTCCGATGGTTTTGCTTCCTGGAACACCAGATACTATTTGCCACTTCACTAGTTCACATGGATCAGTTTAAATGAGACAGAGAAATGGGGTTTAACCACAGGAGTATGCATATATATATATATGGATAGAAGGTCAGACTCCTGTGGTTTAACGTCCACTCGACACAAAGTAGGTCATTTCGAGACTAACATATCAATGGTTTAATTTTATTTCAATAATTCGCTTGCGCGTAGTGGTCTTTAGCAGTGGGAGGAAACCGGAAGACCCGGAGAAAACCCAAAAGGTTGGACAGGCGACCTTACTCCTTGTCATGTACAACCAGGGAATCGAAACCATGACAGTTGACTCAATGACAGGCCTTATGATACAACTCACACGTGCTAACCATTCGGCCATCCAACCAACCCAGTTTAAATGTAAATATAAGGTGTATTGACCATTTTGTTGCGAATTCAATATAATTTGGTACTGTAATCAATTTTATATTTTATGGCTTTAGTTTTCATTTTATATTGGCGGTTCTTATATTTCTCTTTCAGTAATATTTGTGTGATATTGCTCACTCCCCCCCCCCCCCCCTACCCTTCAAAACAACAGACTGGAAAGATGCTCTTTTCCTTATACATGTAATCAAGATCTAAAAGTAAGTAAATAAATTACTTTTAGCGCAAATCTTGACAATTTGACCAGGAACTGTATATAATTCAGCAAATGTAATTTAGCAGTGGGAGAAAACCGGAGAACCCGGAAAAAACCCACGAGGTTGGACAGGCACCCCTACTCCTTGTCACGTTTAAATAGGGTTAAAATCAACAGCTATGTTGTGTCTAATCGCAAGTCGAATTTGGGGTTATATTAAATTGATCTCCCAAGGTCAAGCATATACACTGCCATAGCTAAATAGAAGTGACTAAAATAATATTTGTTTCCACTTAATGTTGAAAGTGGTATTAGTCACTTCAAGAATTGACTTTCACATGACCATTTATGTGTGTGTTGTGTGTAACCATTAATTGAGGACCTTGAATTAATTGACATGACTGAGGACATCTTATATTTAGCCAGTGATGGGATTTCAAAATTTTTCTTGTCGGACATTTTTACTGAAAATAAAGGGACATAACTCTTATCGTTATTTAAAATGGCAGTTTTTAGACCACACACAAAAATCACGTGTAAACAAAATATTCAAATTCATCCGTAATATAAAAATAGGTGCACCTCGTTATTTTTCATATTTAATTCCCGTACGGTATTCAAATTTATGTCAGTAATATTCCTACAAAATTCGTAATACGATAGAATGAAAGCGTGCCGACTGCTGCCGATCTGTACTGTTTCAAATTCCTCCAAAATTACTGTATTTTCGGGTCATAAGTCTCTACATTTTTCAGCAGAAGTCCGGCATTCGTCTTAAACTCCGTTACGACTTATGTACAGAGGGTAAGAATATGATATCCCGAGGAATGACACCATCCGCTAAATAATCGCTAGCACGCGCTATCGTCTAAAACAATTAAGTACTTACACTATTTCAATTGACATATTCGTCAACATTGCCTAGGTTACTTATTTCTTTATTTAAAAACATAAACCCCATTCAAAATATGATTGTAAATCCGAGAATATGCCATCAAAATAGAATCTTTTCTTCGACATTAGAAGCGTGAATTTAGTCACGTATTCATTTCATAATTTCACGCGTCTCGCGAGATTTCTAATACCGGTATAGCACTCGGCAAACCTCGCCAGATACCGTTACTCTACAAGCAGCCGAAGCTAGATGTAGAGAAACGGAATCTGCCGAGGTTTCCCGAGTGCTGTAACCGCGTGCTAGAAATGTCTAATATTTTTCGGATATATGTGTGTGTGAAATAGCTTTAATTAACGCTCGCTTCCACCGAAGTGATATAGCAGACGAATTATAATGACTGTCTATTGATCTTGTCGTTATATTCTCTTACAATATGTGATTTCTATGACTAGTTTATACATATTGTCGGCTCACATCAATGCGATTAAAATGTCCGTCAATGCAGAAACCACGAGGTTAACAAACGAAGATTAAAATTATAATGGATTGATGAATAGTCCGACAAAGGGGAAACAATGGCTTCCGTTTAAGATTAGATTGATGAATTGTCCGACAAAGGATTAAGTCAGTCAATCAAGGCAGATTAAGTAGTTAATCAAGGTAGGTTTATAGACCGTATAACACGATAAATACGTTGATCACTTAATTACCTAATCAATCCAGCGTATTATCGACGATAATCTGGTTGAGTGGTAGTTATACACTCAGTAAACTATATTAATTTCGGAATTTTGAATATTGATGTCCGATTGGGCATATTCCCGGTCGGACAATTTTGGGCGTTTGGAAAAAAGATTCGGACAAGTCCGGATATACGGGCAAAATCCCATCACTGTATTTAGCTGATACAATTTTTCATGATAAAAAGCTAGAGGGAGACAGAAATGGGGTTTAATGTCCATTTGACACAAACTAGATCATTTCGGGACTAACATATGGTTCAATTTTATTTCAATAATTTGTTTGCATATAGGGGTCTTTAGCAGTGGCAGGATACTGGAGGACCCGGAGAAAACCCACAGGATTGAACAGGCGAGCCTACTCCTTGCCACGTACAACTGGGGAATCGAAACCACGCCAGTTGACTCAATGACAGACCTTGTGTTACAGCGTGCATGTGCTAATCATTCAGCCATCCAACCGAGAATCCACAAGCAAAGAATGCGATTTTCCGAACAATCAGGGGCCATAATCCAGGAAGATACACTCAGATATGCGCGATAATCAAAAGGAACCAAGATCTTAGTGTGTAACGGTGATATATTCACACGTTTTTTTAAATCGGATAAAAATTGTGACCTCTACAGGGACCGCAAGCTATAAATGTGATTTTTCATACAATCAGGGGCCATAATTCGGGAAGTTATGATCCGATATGCATGAATATCGAAATAAACCAAAATCTTTGGGTTATAAACATGCATTTCAAATTTTTTTTAAAATCGGATCAAAATTGTGACCTCTAGACGGTCCACAGCCTTGATATACCAGATGTTTACACTATTTGCGTACAAGGAGCGGCCATTTTGTCCGGCAGTTTTGGTCCGACTTTTACGAAATTCGAACTCAACCATCCTTAGGGTGTAACGGTGATATTCTAAAACGTTTTTTTAAACCAGATAAAAAATTATGACCTCTATAAGGTCCACAAAAACAAGATTCAGAAAGTTACGATCAGATATGCGCGAATATCGAAAGGAACTGAGACCTTTGGGTTATAAACTTACATTTCAAGTTTCAACAAAATCGGATAAAAATTGTGACCTCTATAGGGTCCACAAGCTAAAAACATGATTTTTCGTACAATCAGGGGCCATAATCCATGAAGTTATGATTCGATACATGACAATATCGAAAGAAACCAAGATCTTGGGAGATGGACCTATATTTCAAGTTTCGTCAAAATCGGATAAAAATTGTGACATGTATAGTGTCCACAAACAAATTGAGGTTGTCCTTAGGGTATAAGGAATAAGTATGAAAAGTTTTCAAGACGATCGGTTAAGAATTGCGGCCAGACAAACAAAAAGAAAATGTGGACATATAAAAAGAGATTGAAATATAATGTTTTAGAAACATAATGCCAATTCTATTTAATCTGGTGCTTTCAGTCACTACGAGGATCCTCTGGCATTTATTGATATATTACACTGTAGAATCTGTCTTCCACGTACTCGAGCAGCAGATACCTTGAGAATGGTATGGTGTTAACGAAAAGTGTGGAAGTATGCGAATGTTGGTGGCACTAACGTTCATGTTATATATGCACATAACAAATAGTATTTATTTATTTATTTATATATTTTAGTGATGTTTACGACTACTTGATATAGACCAACTGCTAATCAAGATGGATGCATACAGGTTTGTATATTATATAGAGACAAATAGATACGCCTTAGAATCTGTCCACCATCCACACTATACTATTGTTCATACGGTTATCAGGGTTATCTTGGGTAAGGTATAACTAGCCTATTGTAGATAGTGTTGATATCAGGGTTAACTGGGGTAAGGTATACTGTTAAAAACAACTCTCCAATTAAACGGTATAAACAATTCATGATGTGTATTTTGAAAATTATATATTTTAAATATAAGAATGGCTTTATTTTATAGACGTATTTCATTAATTGTTGAATCATACTAAATTACAGAGATTAATAAGGCAGATTACATTGAGTTTTTACATTGTCATTGTATTTGTATCATAATATTTACAACTAAAATATGTGTAACATATTTCAGGCTACTGGAGTCAAAACTACGCCAAGCTAAAGAAGATGGAAATATAGGAAAAGTAATAGAAACATTATCATTACAACATAAGACGAAGCAAGCTTTATTTATAGCTGCTAGAGAAGGATTGTGGGAGGTGGTTATATACATGTTAGAACATGGTGTTGATTGGCATTATGTTGATTGGCACCACTACAATCTCCTACTATTACTTTTAGATAGCTTTGACAGATTAGGCAGCGGTGACAATAGAGCTCCACAAGCTTTGTTATTTAAATGTGTAGTTAAATTAGTCGATGCTGGTGTAGACCTCAAGCAGGTAAATAAGAAAAAAGAGATGCCTATATGCACAGCTGGTAGATTAGGATTGTATGATGTTGTGATGTATCTGTTAAAAAATGGAGTTGATGTACATTATGATGATAAATTTAAACACACCATTCTTCACCATGTCTTAGCTGGTATGTATATCTATGTTGAAGATGAGGAGCAAATTACGACGATACTTAACACTTATACAAATTATAGAGAAGGGTATGAAGTTGTGATATATCTGGTAGAACATGGAGCTGATGTACATTATGTTGATTGTCTTCAGAGGAATCTCATGCACTTACTTTTAGTTAGCCATGAATGGTTTGACACGCATGACAATACAGGTGGACATAATTTGTTACCATATGTAGTTAAATTAGTTGATGCTGGTGTGGACGTCAACCAGTTGGATGGTTATGAAGAGACACCTATATATATAGCTGCTATTTATGAATTATGGGAAATTGTGATATATCTGTTAAATCATGGAGTTGATGTACACTATGCTGAGGAACAAACAAACATCCTGTTGAGCATACTTTTTTATCATTATAAGAGAGATTATGATACAGGTAGACGTGATTTGTTATTAGAACGGGTATTTAAATTAATTCATGGTGGTGTAAACATCAACCCCGTGATTTTAGAGAGACCTATAATTATAGCTGCTAGATTAGGATTGCATGAAGTTGTGATGTATATGTTAGAACATGGAGTAGATGTACATCATGCTGATTATTTACAATGCAACATTCTTCACTACGTTTTATGCCATATGTGTTCATATGTGGAATATGAAGAGATATACATACAGCTCGTTAATATCTTAATAAACACAGGATTAGATATAAACCAACCTGACCTTCTTGAAGGTAATACCCCGTTGTTCTATGTCGGTAAACACAACTTTTCTGATAACTACAATCTAGGTAAATTATACGCAATTCACTCGAAATTAAAGGCAGGTACAGACACCCACACTTCACTGAAATGTAAATTGATTAACATTTTATTAGGAGCTTGTTGTATTGTGAACCATCAAAACAAACTGGGACAAACGGCTTTAATGTACTATATAAAACACCAAACTGATATCAGTATATTAAAACTGTTAATTCCACATTCTGATCTAAGTTTAACTGATAATAATGGTGTTACAGCAATTAGGTATTGTGTCCAATATCACATGATCAATTCAACATCTGTCTTTAAACTTTTAGTAGATTTAGGTTCAGATCTGATGTCACGTAACAACGGAGTTAAGTTATTCGATGATATTTTAAAATGTAAGAGGTTGTGGGGGTTCAGTTATTACATTAAGCTAAAGTTGATTGTTAATGGTGTCACAGCTGAAGGAGAAAATATGCTTCATCTTTTAGCTGGTGTTAACTATGATTATTCTCTAAGCAAGTTTAACTGGTTATTGAATAATGAACTAGACATCAACCATCCCTGTTCTAAAACCAATACACCCACTATGATAGCTGCCTTCTTATTAAATAGCAAATATTTAGAGTTGTTGACCAGTCACCCTAGACTAGAGATCAATACACAAAATAACCAGGGTCATACCGCCCTACATCTCTGTATCATTGGATTTACGATGTTTAAGAATGGTTTGAACAAGAGGCAGGTAAATGATGTTGTTAAGAATTATTGTAGACAGATATATCCAATATACATGGCTTGTATTGATACTTTACTTGGTGTTGATGGAATAGATGTAAACATTCACGATAATGCAGGTAGAACTAGCTTAATGATGGCTGCTATGAAAAACGACAGAGTTCTTACAAGGAAACTACTTCAAGCTGGTGCCATAGTTAACAGGTTAGACCATTCAGGAAGATCAGCTCTACAATATATTGATATCTATAAAAGTCTGTTTGATTTGACTTGTTTTAAATTACTTCTATCTAAAGCTAATACTGGTCTTCTCAATTTACCCTGCATTGATGGTAACACAATTATTCAAACAGCCCTGTGTTTCCCCTTTTTCTGGAAACCATGCCGCGTTGTTCGGTTTATTAGATATTTAGTTGCTGAAAACTGTTGTCTACAGACTCTTGTTACGTCTTCAGTTGAAAGTAGCTATAATCAAATTGATTGTACTGAGATAAGCTCTGAAGAAAGAGACAAACTGAGAAAAGTGTTATATCGTAGTGGTGCCCAAGGGGAGGAAATTATGACAACATTAAATTTTGATGAGGAAGATCAACAATATGAAGACAGAACAATTTTCTCACTAGGCAGGAAGAAATTTGTTAGTTTCTGTAGTAATATATCCCTCAAGTCCCTGTGTAGAAGAATAATCAGACAGAATCTTGGATGGGGAATAAAGGAGAAGATTAAAAATCTTGAATTGCCTCGTGAATTAAAGGATTTTCTTCTACTAAAAGATGTTCTCCATCCTAAAGATTACAACATAGATAATATTGATGATGGTTGTAATGATTTTGATAATGATGATGATTATGATGGTTATGATATAGATAAAGATAGAGATGATGATTATACTCAATATAACTACCAGTATTTTACTCTCAATACAGATCATGAATTAAGGCAAGATTTCATAAAAACATGGATACTTCCTAATGGTAGCGATGATTTCATAAGCACAGATGATGATGATGATGATGATGATGACTGTTATACTATTTATTTTTGAATTCAACATTGGTTTAACTTCATATAATATTTTTATTCTTCTGGACATATAAAGTACAAATGACTGCTTAAAGTTAGCTTGTCTTGCGTGAGTCTTAGTGCTAACTTGGCCGATGAATCTAATTTAGTTCCTGTCTTTGAAACCCTTGAACTGGCGAATGGATGCCCAATCCCTAAAAGTACTCTACACTCAAATACACACCGTTCACTATGTGATTTATATGTGATCGCTGCATTGGATTAAAACCTCAGCTCCAGGTGAAAATGAGGTACTCAGTGTCTGGAATAACCTGCCTGAAACTTTCAACTTTCTGAAAAAAGTAGCAGTGCTAGTGTCAATTTTCTCATCTAGTTAGAATGAAAACTTAGTGCAGCTTGCATAGCTTTGACGAATACAAAATATTATCGAGATATAAAACTTTTATCATCTGCTATACGTGAAACATTAAAGGAGCATTATGGGAGATAAGATAAAGAGCTGACAGTTCTCACTATAATAGTTAAACATGCATTATGCAAGAGCAAAATCTGCCTATTACCAGTCTTTCTTTAGGCCTGAAATGTTATCTAAATTATCAATTAGACATTAATTAACTTATCCAGACCATAATAAACTCTCGATATCAAGGCTAGCCTTCGATGTTGGCTGGATTAGATTCCTATATGCCGCTAACTGCCGTTGATAATTAAATCAGAAAAAGTGGATAATCGAGACTATGCTGTTTATATAAATTATTTTAGTAATGATGACCGAGACTATGCAAAATTTTCACCCGCTTCTTTCTCGGCTCATAGTGGATCAATTTGACTGAAATTTTCAGCAAATTACCTTTACACTATCTAGTTTTTAACTATTATAGCGAGAACTGCCATCTAACAGTTCTCACTATAATAGTTAAAGATACATTATGGAAGATTAGATAAAGAGCTGACAGTTCTCACTATAATAGTTAAAAACTAGATAATGTAAAGGGAATATGCTGAAAATTTCAGTCAAATTGCTCCACTTTGAACGGAGATATTAGCGATTGAATTTTGGGTCTAGCCTTGATCATCATTACTAAAGTTGATACGATATAAAACATAGTCTCCATTATCCATTTTTGGATTTAATCATCCATGAGCATTGAACTGCAGATCGAATTCAAATCCAGAGAAAATCTTGACACATAGGATGGCATCTAGAGTTGATTAAGGTCTTTTCATGTTAATAAATATCTAATTAATAGTTTATATAACATTTCAGGCCTAAAGAAAGACATGCAATAGGCAGATTTACCTCTTGCATAATGCATGTTTAAATGTACACAAAAGGCAAATAACAAAATCAATTAAAATACTAAACAAGATGTACTTGGCAAGCGATAATTTTTTTCTGTTTTTCAAATTGAAATTATTGGCACATGATCTGAAAAAAGGTTAAACAGGAACCAAATGTTTATTGAATTTGTTCTTTTGTTTATATTCATGTAAATAAATCATAGTATATGTAACATCTACCTTGAGTATCCATTACACTATATGTGACAAAGTGATTTATACTTTTCATCAAATTGAACGATCATTTAGGTGCATAGTCCTTTATGAACTCGGCTAGATCTGATAATATATGATATTGACGTTTCACCTCTGTATCAACTTCAGTTAAGGCACGGACTGCCTACGATCTTATTAAACATCTAATTAATTCAATACGTTCTTTACAAGCTACACATGATCCGTGTATAACACTAGACAGAACTTCAAAGAGAATGTAGAAGTGGTCAGTGTATCATACTATGACCTGACAATGACATCCAAGGAAATATGCAGTGTAATTACAAACACCATAATTTGATAAATAAACAATACCATATATGATGATCACTCTTGTCCATCTTCCCTAATTGTCGTACGCTATATAAGCAGGTGTTTACTGACAGTAAGTCAGACTTGGAATAGAGCTCCCACCGAATTATGTCTATTACATGTTCTTAATAAAGGTCTTATCAATTATGATGATCTTCTGTTATATGTAGTGTTACATATATACCTAATCTATATTTGTGAAATGAAATGAAATGGGGTTTAACGTCCTACTGTTCTGCTCCTATACTGGGCTAATGAAGACGGGCATACGCCATACAGTGTGCTATGAGGAAAATTTTGCCCGGGCAAATGTATACACGGGACCTCGGTTTTTCGTCTCATCCGAAGAACTAGACTAACGCCACCTGGCCGATGTTACTCCTCGGTCTGAGCTACCCCTATACCCCAAATTTCAGACTCGGGGCAGACCTAGTGCAGCCGCCAACCCCGAACAGACCAGCGCTTTGCTCGGGGGTCATAACTCCGAAACCGGAAGTGGTAGACTAACGCCACCTGGCCTACATGTATGTAACTCCCCGGTCCGAGCTACCCCTATACCCCAAATTTCAGACTCGGGGCAGATGTAGCCGCCAACCCCAAACAGACAGATTTCGCTCGGGGGTCATAACTCCGAAACCGGAAGTGGTTGACTAACGCCACCAGGCCTATGTTACTCCCCAGTCCGAGTTACCCCTATACCCCAAATTTCAGACTCGGGGCAGATCTAGTGCAGCCGCCAACCCCAAACAGACCGGAGTCACTCGGGGGTCATAACTCCGAAACCGGAAGTGGTAGACTAACGCCACCTAGCCTATGTTACTCCCCGATCCGAGCTACCCCTATACCCCAAATTTCAGATTCGGGGCAGACCTAGTGTAGCCGCCAACCCCGAACAGACAGACAGACAGACAAACGACAGTCTCAAATATATATATAGATTCATGTATATAAATATAAATAAATCATGATATCAAAACATCTACCCTGTAATGTTTATATAGTATACCTAAATAAACATTATTCTTATGTATAAATTATAGAATAGAAACGTCTGTAGTTGGTTTTGCTGCAACTAAATTGGAAAATAGACAAAAATGGTAAGCCAACTACATGTACTTGCTTTTACGGACCGGCACACGGAGAGAAAGAATTGGGGTTTCACGTTCATATGGCGATTTTTGTGCATCTTCCGAGTCTTTTTGAAATATGCAAAATGGGACAACATTTCTCATAAGTTAGAGAATGAAGTAAAAATGCCCACAGCAAGATATCATACACCTAACCTCAATCTCACCCTCATTCCTATTGAGCTGTATATGGCCTAGTTACATATATAATGCTATGGAGAATAAGAACATAAAGCGTCAAGCCAACACTGATCTATCCTAACCAAACCACTAATCAACTCTGTCCTTGTCATACCTGTAGAGAGAACTGGGCTAGAAATATCCTGAATCCTGAATGTTCTAAGCTAATGAAAATATTGATTAGTCCAGAGTCCTAACCGTTTGATTACTCTCTCCCTGTCAGTCAGAAATTTAGGTGTCCTCATAGATTTCAACTTTAGCATAAACAGTCATATCAATTATCTTAACAGGAAATGTTAGTTTCTCCTAAAAAATATCAGTCGAATTAGAGATTATCTAAATACCTGAAGAAATAAGTACATTTGTTCGCTCCTTAATCCTATCCCATTTAGACTATTGCAATAGCCTTCTTGGTGGTGTGTCAAATAAGTCCGTCAAAAAGTTACTGAAGATACAAAACATTACCTATCTATCTGATATTATCTCGGGTGTAGCAAGCTCATAGGGCATACAACTAAGTGTGGAATTGGCACTATACAAACGTTCATATTATTATTATTACTATTATCACCATAGTTAGGACCCTGGTTTCAGAAGTCAAAGGCGATTGGGTGGAAGCGAACAATTGGGACATAGGCTGTAACTTCGAGGGCCATCATCTTCAGACGATGGCTTGATCTTGCTTTGACTACGTACACATAATACCCTGCATATTTCGACATTAATTACGATTGGGTACAAGCCCAGCTCATGAGCCTATCAAATTCCTCGATCATCGCGAATACCAAGTCTCGCTTTTTCAAGCTAAAATGTCTACCTGTGATAATCGAGTTGCAAAGTTCAAGATTCATTCAATGTCAAGGTTATAGTGGAGGTTGCTATGTCAGAACCTCTGATTGGACGCTACTGTTCACGTGTATGCAGATAACGTAGCTATAAGTTCGGGAATTGTGAAGCAATCTAGAAATGTCCAGATGTTGTAAAACTCGCAGGCATCGCTCCAGGAACATGGTGGGCCATAGGCCTCTAGCAGTGTCTATAGTAACTGCTGTCTCTGGTTAAACCATTATGTGTCATAAATCGAAAGTTTTGTGTACCTTGAAAAAATCTAGCCAGTGTTAAACAATGGGGTGGGTGTTTCGTAGGCTGGGTGGATGAAGGGGAGGAGTGTCTGATGGGGGTGCTCAGGGGAGTGTTGGGGATCCTGGACACATGAAATCAAGAGCATGACACTTCATTTGATGACAGGTATTATGATGTAAATCCAACAAATCCTTCAAAAGTCAAATATTGTTAAATGCTATAGCGGACAGCGTATTGACCAAATCTTTGAAATTTGACTTAAATGTATCTATAAGGGGCCATAATCCAGAAAGTTGCGAAACTGAGATCTTTGGATAAAAAACATTCGTTTCAAGTTTCATCTAAATTGGATAAAAATTGTGATCTCTAGAGTGTCCATAGGCTAAAAACGTGATTTTTTCATACAATCAGGGGCCTTTATCCATGAAGTTTTGATACGATACATGTCAATATCGAAAGGTGCCAAGATCTTTTGGAGATAAACCTATATTAGGGTGACCCACCATAAATAAATATCTCCAAATATCTCGACAATTACGCAACAAAATATTTATATATATGCCAAGCCTCAAATCAGTTTCACACAATTATAGTCACTAAATAAACGTTCATGTTGTACTTAATAAGCTATGACCATTAATCATCTATAAATAATAGACTGAAAACTGGTTCCAAGTGTCGTCCATAACATCCAGACACTTTTGAGTAAAAGATAGGTTACATGCCCTTGTTTTGAAATTAGTCTCGCTTAACCAGTCTATCGACCATTCTACGTTTGATTGACAGGTCGGGATAATCAAGACTACTTTTTTTACGAAACATAACAGAAAGCTAGAACAAGAAATTGAATTTAGAAATAAGCACGTTAGCTAGCTCAACAATTGTTTTAAGAAGCTTGTAAAAGTAAAATGAAACTACTGCTAGTATCATGTTCCTGTCTAACCCGAGTGTTTCAGAGATATTATTTTTACTAAACCAAAAGATGCCGCTCTTAACGGTACAGTTAATGATAAAGCGATTTAAAAAATGAAACGAACGTAATTTCTAAATCTGCTGTAATAACCAAGAAGCTTAATTTTACTGCTATTCAAAACCGTCAATAAATTTTTTACGGCTGTAATAGTTGATAGATTTGTAGAGAATTGCACGTGCCATGGCTATTTATAGTGTCATACTGTCAGAAAGTTGGTCTCGACACGGCGAATTTGCACGCTTCAGTGGTAGTCTCAAACTATCAGCGGTGGGCTGTATTTCTGTAGAGTGCATGGGTCACCCTACCTATATTTCAAGTTTTGTCAAAATCGGTTAAGAATTGTGACCTGTAGTGTCCACAAACAAAATGTGAATGGACGGATGGACGCACACACGAACGGACAGGGTCAACAACATATGGCCTAATGAAGAGAGGATATATCATGATTTACCTGAAATGTGTCTGGATCATAGTGACTAATATATTCCCCACTGTAAATATCAACATTACCCAGTGATATCTGTAAAGCTTTATCTGGTGATACATAACTTATACGAGTTAAGAAAATATAGCATAGAATTACTCTTCAAATCTCTTGTAAACAGGCCTAGAAGTAAAGTACCAGTCACAGACAGGTTAAAGGACCCAAGCTGCTAACTCAGTATCATCCACGGCCTTCGACATTACAAACACAACTTACTTAAATCAACACTGATGTTGTTATCTTGCCGTAAAAAACAGACTTTTAATATCCAACATTTTAAATTTGGCACACAAATCACGTTCCAGAATGCTTCTGTGCGTCATTTGTAAGGAAGCAACTCGAAGAACAAGGCTAAACATATCACTCAGGAGAATACTGCAGGCGTAGACTGAAATAACCAGATGTCAAAGACTTCCATTTAATTTCAACCTAACTGATTAGAAATTTCTAGTTGCCAAAGAATAACAATTTAGCTACTTTAAATGTCTTACTTTTATGCACCAACTGGAGTAATTAAGACTGGCATAATCCATACAGTGTGTTGCAGTGTTGCTATTTTAAATTGTTTCTTGTCGGACAATTTTACTGAAAAAGGGCATAACTCTTATTGTTATTTAAGCAGACGAATTCAGACCACAATTAAAAATCATGTATCAACAAAATATTCAAATTCGTACATAATAAAAATAGGTGCACCTCGCTATTTTTAATAGTTTCGTAGTAGGCATTATCCAATTTTGTAATATTAGACATAAAAACTATAAATTTAACTGCATAAAGTGTATGTTAAGGTTAAATTATTTGAAATTCTAATTTCATGGCATGTAATTTGATTGACAGGTGGAAGTTCTGCGATTGTTAAATTTCACTTCCACTGGCAAATATATATATATATTCAAAATGTCAGGCCTGCTGGACAGCTTTGATAAACTAATCGTGCTTCTTGTACACTACGGTGGCACACTGGACAAGTAGATTAAAGTGTGCGCTTTAAATCATTGAGTAAAGTGGTGTTTCGAATTCCGAGCTTGTACGTGACAAGGAGTAGAGAGGCACTTGTCCAACGTCGTTTTCTTCGGGTCCTCCGGTTTGTTTTCACTGCTAAAGACCCCTACCGCAAGTGAGTAATTAAATAAAATTGAAGCATGTGTTAGTCCCAAAATGACCTAGTTTTTCAAGTGTATGTTAAACCCCATTTCGCTCTTTCTTGTACACAAGAAAATATTGTCTAACTTTTGTCTTATTTATATGAAACTTTTCAATTATTATATGAAATGAAATGAGGCCTTTAACATCCTACTTTTTTGCACCAACTGGGCTAATGAAGATGGTATTTTTATCTGAAAGGATACGATCCAGCATATTTGAGTTCTTCTTTAACAATTTCTGGTGGGTAATCATTGAGGGGTACTACTTGACGTTTTATTGGATCATAACATAGTTGATATAAAAACGTATTTTCTGCTTTAATAAAGTTCTCGATATATTCACTTGATACCACAACATTCTTCTTTAAATAACTGGATAATTTCTTCAATAACTGAAAATATACAATAACATTATATAATAATAACTAAAAATATACAATAACATTATATAATAATAACTGGATAATTTCTTTAATAACTAAAAATATACAATAACATTATATAATAATAACTAAAAATATACAATAACATTATATAATAACTGAAAATATACAATAACATTATATAATAATAATAAGAAGAAAAAGAATAATAAAAGAGTCATTTAAATAGTGCAACTTTCCAAGATTCCTGCTCTTTTTACGAGAATAAGCTAAAGCTTGGACTTGAAACTGTTGCGAAATTTTCAATTCGTACTAAACAGGATTGAACCCTTTTTGGACTGATCTTTTTAGAGAGTCAACTTTTACCATATTGTAGCTTGCAAGGTAGGTCTGCAACGATGCGCTAACCTTATGATACATATCACGGTATAGACCTCACGATACGATACATATCGCAGTATTTTTCTTTCCAAATTTAATTAAAGAAATAAAAACAAGTATATGATTTTTAATGGCGACGTGTCACATTATTAGCCACGCATTTTCCATCTGCTTTTTTTAATCCAAAATGTTTCCATATCCTGATTTGTGGTTCACTCGAGGCAAATGTTTCCTCGCTGGAAGCCATTTTTCCTCCTTGTCACATGAACTACAGGTGGACATAACTCTGTGTGATAAAAGAGTATCAGATGAAAATGGATGGTTAAAAATATCTGTGAAGTGTTTATTGAACCGATGTACAGAAGTTAAAGTACCGTGAACCGAACCGTGACCTCAGTATACTGTGGCATGTATACCGTCTCACGGTATGTCGTTGCAAGTGATTCAAATTCCAACAATTGGTGATTAGAGAGAGAAATGGAGTTTAGAGTCCACTCGATACAAACTTGGTCATTTCTGGACCAACACATGGTTCAATTTTATTTCAATAATTCGCTTGAAATAAATGGGGTATTTAAAAGTGGGAGGAAACTGGAGGAGCCAGAGAAAACCCACAAGGTTGGACAGTAACCCTACATCTTGTCACATACAATCATTGCATCGAAATCACACAAGATGACTCAATGATCTAGCGCACACCAACTAACCATTCGGCCATCCAACCCCCTACTAATGGTGATCAATGAGATAAAGAAGGATGGAGAAGATCACCTGCTATACTTACTATTCTTATATCTGTGAGACGTGTCTTTTTAAATACTTTACAAGCCGTAGCTAGACCTATACCAGGTAACGAGGCCAGGTAATCACAGCCTGATAAAATACACAGGTGACGAAATTTATCAAACGTATAAAACCCCTGCTGTATCTCTATTACTTGATTTATATCATTCTGTTCTATTAATATACCGTTACCATGGAAATCCATCTTAAACATCACCTAGGAAACAGACCAAAAATATACAACTTTTCAGTTACATTCACATAACAATATAAAGGCTGGAACTTCTAAAACCATTGTTCTAGGGAATGTTTAAGACAAAGGAAATCAATTTTTATTTTTTCTAAAAAAAATTCTTTGCTCATATTCAGAACATAGGAAATATTTTTGATTACGTCTTTGACCCTATTTCCTAAAGCTACCGATGATTCCTGGTGTCAGGCCAACCCCTGCCTCTGTAAACACCAAATAGAGAGAGAGAGAGAGAGAGAGAGAGGGAGAGAAATGGGGTTTAACTACCACTAGACACAAACTAGGTCATTTCAGGACTTACATTTGGTTCAATTTTATTTCCATAATTCGCTTGCGAATAGGGGTCTTTAGCAGTAGGAGGAAACCGGAGGGCCCGGAGAAAACCCACGAGGTTGGACAGGCGACCCTACTCCTTGTCACGTACAGCTGGGGAATCAAAACCGTGCCACTTGACTCAATGAAAGACTTTATGATACAGCGAGCACGTGCTAATCATTCAGCCATCCAACCCCCCAGAGGGGGGAGAGAGAGAAATGGCGTAAAACATCCACTTAGGTGATTTCAGCAATAAAAAATTGGGTTAATTTTATTTCAATAAAGATCGGAGAAACCCCACAAGGTTGGACAGACGACCCTACTCCTTGTCAGGTACAAACTGAGAATCAAAACCGTGCCACTTGACTTATGGACAGAGCTTACAATATAACGCATACGCGTTAAACCGTTCAGCCACTCAACCCACCTAAGCATTAAATGTTGAAACAGAAACAATAACATTCAAATCTTACTTGTTTACATCCGAACAAAAGTAAATCAGAATCTTCTGTGATTATAACTTGAGCTATACCAGATTTATTTAAATACGCTAACTGGGCATCGGCTTCATACGGCGCTACAATACAATCAACACCTCTATCTCTACACACCTGGTAAAAATATAAACAATACAATAAACACCTCTATCTCTACACATTGGCATTTAGTGATTGAGAGGGATCACAGTGGCTAAGTGGGTAAGACGCTGGCTCGCTAGCCTGGAGGTCGGGTGTTCGATCTCTGCACTGGCCGAGATAGTTCATTCAGATTTTCCGGCGAGGTGCCCCCTTGTCAGTGATGCAGGACCTGATAATGACAGCTGTTTAGTCATTCGGATGGGACGAAAAACCGAGGTCCCATGTAGACATTGCCGTGCACGTAAAAGATGCCTTGACAATTGGAATTCGATATAAGAGTAGTCCGTATTGCCGCAAAATTTCCCTCATAGCACACTGTATGGCCTATGCCCGTCTTCATTAGCTCAGTTCGTAGCAGAACAGTCGGATGTTAAACCCCATTTCATTTCATTTAGTGATTGAGAAACACATTAACAGAACACAAGTTTTATGGGAAACAACCACTGGTTTTATTATATAAGTATATAAAACTAAACTGCTGAACTGCAACTATGTTTTCCGTGATTATCAAAATAAATAGAGAGAATTGGGGCTTAACATTCTCAACACAAACTAGGTAATTTAGTGACTAACATATGGTTCAATTTTGATTCAATAATTGTCTAGCACTTAGGAGTTTTTAGCAGTGGGTGGAAACTGGAGGACCTGGAGCAAACCAATGAGTTTGGACAGGCGACCCTACTCCTTGTCACGTATAAACTGGGAATCAAAACAACGCCCCTTTACTCATTGACAGACCTTGTGATCTAAAGCACATGTGTTAGAGAACAAATGATAAGAGTGAGCTGTGAGGTTTGCTATGAAATGAATTTCATCAGAACAGAAATTGCCATAAACAAAATCAAATTATGACTTTGCAGAGTTCTCCCCCTTTAGTCTCCAACAAATTATATTTTGAGCCCCAATAATTTATAGCTGTAAAACAAATGTGGATCTCTAAAATCCCGTAAGAGTAAAGTCTGTCAAAATTTGAGATGAATTAAATTATAGAGTTATGTCCCTTTAGTCTCCAGGGGCCTGTTTCACGAAATTTTAACTAAGATAAAATCCAAATTTTAGTAATTTGATTGGATAATATTAGATTGATTTTAGTGCTTAGCCAATCAAAATTGAAGTATCTCCTAAAATTTGGATTTTATCTTTAGTTAAAATTTCGTGAAACAGGGCCCTGGAATGATATCTTAAAACAACATTAAACTGAGTGTTAAACTAAGCCTTTTAAGTGGATTCAAAATTTGTATAATAAATAAATTCAGAGACTATACATGTGGATGTTCTTTTTTTCTATACTTCCGTCATTATAGGACAAAGATATATGATCGGCTCTGAGTTCACAAAGCATTCTCAGATTTAAGATAAGAATTTAATCAAAATTGTTCGCCTTATTTTAACTAAAATGTAGCCCTTTATAAAACTTTTGTTGTTTTAATGTATCAAATACGTCAATAAGAAACTAAGTGCAAATTGTTTTTTTTCTGGATTAAAGATATTTCTCATAAACAGTGATTGAATATTAAGTAAATTCTTAACATAAGTGTGGGAATGCTTTGTGAACTTGAGGTCTGGGTTTTTCCCTTTATTTATGTGTACACTGAGAGATAAGAGAATTTTGCCCTGACAGCAGTGTTTTTCCATACATTTTTTTTGACTCCCAAGTGCTTGGATTTTCAGGCGTGGTTCCCCCTTGTCAGTGGTGCAGGTCATAGTCTGGCAAAGGACAACACATAGTTCTTCGGATGGGACAGAAATCTAGGTCCTGTGTACACATTGGCATGCATGTAAAAGCTTCCCTTAGCAGCTGGAATTCGATACATGTATATAAGAGTAGTCCATAGTGCTGCTGTCTAGGCACAATTTCTGTCATAGCAAACTCTATGGCTTATGCCAATCTACATTAGCCTAGTTAAGACAGAACAGTAGGATGTTAAACCCCATTTCATTTTCAATCATATAGAAAAATATTATAAAAACATAGATTTATTTACATTCATTAGTTCTAGTGCCATTTGTGGTGTAATATCTATACATTTCTGTAAACAATCTCTCGCTTCAGCTCTTCTCCCTTCTCGTAAAAATTCGGCAGCTTTCTTACGATTTAAATCTCTACGCCTAAAATTTAAAACAAAACCCATTTAGTTAATTAAATTCATAAGAAAACATGTTCTTATAGCAGAAACTTCATAGCATAATTGAATTAAATTATATAAAAGGCTGAGTTTAGTGTTGTACACTTTGGGATTAACAAGTAGAAATTATTTCAATAATTAGGGGTCTTTAGCGGTGGGATGAAACCAGAGGACCCAGAGAAATCCCATGAGCTTGGACAGCCAACCTTACTTCTTGTCGCGTACAACTGGGGAATCAAAGCCACGCCAGTTGTGTCAATGACGGATCTTATGATAGAACGTGCACGTGCCAACCATTTGGCCACCTAATCCCCCTATAAAATATCATTTTTAGAGACAAGTGTAAATGACTTTTTGAATAGTAGCATACTTTAATGACTAACTTGCAAGCCTGTATCTGTGAGAATCTATACATCTCAATCAGATTTCTCGTTAATTTCTAAACCAGAAAAAGATATTTTATCTAACTTACTCTCTTCTCGATTTTTCTACTTCTTTTTTTGAGGGTAAATGACATCCATCGAAGACTAATATAGGTTTTATACCACATTTTAACATGTAATCAACGTACTTCATACAATAATACACATACCTATAAAATACATCATATTTCATACAATTGAATAATATACATAACTATAAAACACATCATAAAATCATGTAATAGCATAAGATTTCTCATTTTCAATACAGCATTAAAATTAAGAAGTGCACGACACACAACTCACTCATTTCTTAAAACTGATCTTAAACCAACATTTGACTACATGAACTATTAAAAAACTCTTGCTTGCTACCCATTAACTGGTTTACGTGTATTATTAACTGGGTGGAGGAGATGGGGATGGGCTTCAGGGTATGAGCGACAGAAGATCCCATGCTTATCACTGAGCATATGCAAGATACAGTTATAGTCGGCTATTAGCCTAGAGACTGACGATGTGTCAAAATAACTCAAATACTTTTTTTATATCAGAATTTTACTACAATCATTACAACACACAGAATTTGTGTAAAAATAATCTCATGATGTTGAGTCCAGACATTAAACCATATACCCTTTTCACTTCAATAAACATTTTTGTGTTTCGGGATTTTTTTATTCAAATAAATCCATAAAATACTTTTCTTTTAAAATATGAGTAAATGGGAGGAACAACAACAGATACGTGTAGCTGCTTGATAAAAGGTCGATGCAACCGGAGAGATGAAACAAGAATAGATATAAAACTTGAAATCCAGCAATGTTATGATAAATCATCTCTCTATTCAAATTAAAATATATTTTGTAATACTGTTGAGCAGGGATATTTGATTTATCAGAATCTATTTCCATATAAAATCTTACATGTCTGTTTTTTCACCCAGAGCTAATTTATCAGCACAGGCAAAAGCTCCTCTATGTAACCAACAATAGGCATCTATAGCTACTGTACATCCTTTAAACTGTGAGATATTCACTGACTTGTGGATCTTCTTTAAAAATGGTAATAGACCCTGAATACCCATCTTGGTGATCTATTTCTCTTTTATCTGAAAGTAAAACATATCAGGGTATGAAATAAGTGTCTAATATACTTGCACAAAAATAAAAATGAAATGGGGTTTAACGTCCTACTGTTCTGCTCCTATACTGCTGGGCTAATGAAGACGGGCATACGCCATGTGTGCTATGAGAGAAATTTTGCCCGGGCAGCGGCACTATCGCATACTCTTATATCGAATTCCAAAGGGATCTTTTACGTGCATTCCAATATATACACGGGAACTCGTTTTTTTGTCTCATCCGAGGGACTAGACAGCTGTCCTTGTCAGGCCCTCCATCCTGCATACTTGCACAAAGTTAAGACCTAAAACAATAGTTATTAATAACTTTGATATCAGACATAAAGTCTATACTGTACCTATAATTTAATTTATTAAATACATGAAATTTTATTGGAAATAAAACATTATCAATGTCAATATCAAGTGTAACTTTACCCAGTACGCTTATTACATGACCACCAACGCCTAATAACTCTGGCTGGTGGATTAGTTTCGACGGTTTCTAAAAACCTGGATTAATGTTCACCTCATGTTACCTAATCAGATTATAGTGGTGTTACGTCCGTAATTAGGGATTATCCAATCAGTTAATTAGTTAGTCCTCACCTCTTTCCTAGCGAATATCAGTCAATTACTGTTAATAGCATTTTGATTTTTCCCGATAATTTTTCTACAAATTACACATTTATTACTAGTTGTAGAGAGAGAAATGGGGTTAAACGTCAACTCGACAAAAAAACAGGTAATTTCAGGACTAACATATGGTTCAATTTTATTTCAATAATTCGCTTGCGCATTAGGGGGCTTTAGCAGTGGGAGGAAACTGGAGGACAGGTCGACCCTACTCCTTGTCATATACAACTGGGGAATTGAAACCGTGCTAGTTGACTCAATGACAGATCTTATGATACAGCACGCACGTGCTAACCATTCGGCCATCTAACCGGCTTCTACATCTAATTCCATTTAATCTGCTTTATCTATTTTGATTTTCTAACTTATTTTAAATAGATTTATTACCAATTCTATTGTGAAAACTTCATAATCTTCGTGTCTGAATTTTGTCTTATTTACTAATTTTGCCGCTTATTTTCGGCTTTGTATTCGAGGATATTTTCGTACATAAGCGAATAGTTTTAATGGGTCTGAATAAAAATTTTACTATACTTTTACATTAGAGTTTGGACTCTTAGACACTTTAGATACTTTAATAATCACCAAATTCATTGTGCTAAAACTACGACCAGAAAAAATTATCATGTACGAAACTTACATGTTCAGCTCTTCGTACCAGTTGTCAACATGGCGGAGTTTCAACATCAAAAAACAGCTCCCAGCAACGTCAGCATTGATTTGAGTGCAGTAGACGATATTAGAACTCAAACTAATCCTTACAAACATGTTGAAAGTCCAAGCAAATATATGCCGAGCCAGGATGAGTTTCAATTCGTGCAAGGTTCATCTCCATCAGGTATCTAATCTACTCCATATTCCTGACCTGGATTGACTCATTGAGTCAATTGAGAAGAAACTTGACTTGGATTTAGTTCCTTTACTAACCTAAGTGTCTCTGATCGGACGCCTGTCCGCTGACCGCTCCTATCCGTCCCTATATAGCTACAATATGAAAATACCGCTCTTCCCCATCTCTTGTTGTAAGAGTACGCTTGGTATTTGATTTGAGTTTCTCATGTCAAATACAGCGATATTATATAATACTATAGCAGAGATGAAGAATCACTATCAGATCTTTATAATATTGGGGGGGTTGGATGGCTGAATGGTTAGCGTGCGCGCGCTGTATCATACAGTCTGTCATTGAGTCGACTGGCGTGGTTTCGAATCCCCGGTTGTACGTGGCAAGGAGTAGGGTCGCCTGTCCAACCTCGTGGGTTTTCTCTGGGTCCTCCGGTTTCCTCCCACTGCTAAAGACCCCTACGCGCAAGCAAATTATTAAAATAAAATTAAACCATATGTTAGTCCCGAAATGACCTAGTTTGTGTCGAGTGGACGTTAAACCCCATTTCTCTCTCTCCCTTTATAATATTGTGTTCATAATGTGTGCCCCTACGGATTTGACATTGGATGTCGTGCAGCAAATTAGAGCGTTGTCATATTTTAAGTTCTAGGTATTCCAGCAGAGGACCCGGAGAAAACCCACAAGGTTGGACAAGCGACCCTACTCCTTGTCACTTACAACTGTTGACTCAATGACAGACTTTATGATATAACGCGCTCACGCTAACCATTCGCCCCCCCCTTCGAAATGGGGTTTGGATGGCCGAATGGTTAGCACGTGCGTGCTGTATCATAAGGCCTGTCATTGAGTCAACTGGCGTGGTTTCGAATCCCCGGTTGTACGTGACAAGGAGTAGGGTCGCCTGTCCAACCTTGTGGGTTTTCTCCGGGTCCTCCGGTTTCCTCCCACTGCTAAAGACCCCTTCGGGCAAGCGAATTATTGAAATAAAATTAAACCATATGTTGGTCCCAAAATGACCTAGTTTGTGTCGAGTGAACGTTAAACCCCATTTCTCTCTCTCTCCCCGCCCCCCCCTTCGAAAATCGAAATAGGAACACTGCATGGCATATGGCCATCTTCATTAGTCTGGTTGGTGCAGAAAAGTTGGATGTGATAACCATTTCGTAATGAACCTTATAGATTATGAAGTCCAATTTTGTTGCTCATCAGAGTACCAGATTGAAAATTTGGTCAGTGTCACTGAGAAATTAAAATTCTTCAGACTCTACAATAATTTCCATTTGAAAGATTTTTTAAATGAAATATTATATGAATTTCAAAATGGTATTCATTTACAAAAATTTAATCCTTTCAGTTCAGTATCACATGTTGACACTTTTCAGCAATGGGTGTTTTATCCTTGAGGTTGAACATTAACTTCAGTCATAAATTTAACACTTGTTTTAGACTAGATGGTTCACATACATCAAAACAGGAGGAGCACCCAACATTGGATGGCCGATGGTTATCATGTGCGCGTTACGTCATAAGGTCTGTCATTGAGTCAACTGGTGTGGTTTCGATTCCCAGGTTGTACGTGACAAGGATTAGGATCGCCTTTCCAATCTTGTGGACCCAGTGGATTTTCTCCGGGTCCTCCGGTTTCCTCCCACTGCTAAAGACCCCTACGCGCAAGCGAATTATTGAAATAAAATTAAACCATATGTTAGTCCCGAAATGACCTAGATTGTGTCGAGTAGAAGTTAAACCCCATTTCTCTCTCTTAAAAATATAGCAATACATAATGGCCTTTATTGATATGTATTTACAGGACAGTCTATTGAAGGAACGATGTACCAAGGCAATACAAAGTTGGACGGCGGTTCAGCATATGGTGTAAAACATCGGGGAGTTGCCTCTCGTTTGTTAGAGAATCGAGGATTTGGTTGGTTGTTAGAAGAGGAGGATGACAACGAAGCTGAACTAAAACCACTTCTGTGAGTTTGTATACATGTACATACCTGGTAGTCTTTTGAGATCCATAACAAAATACCTTTCATAGTCAACCAACTGATTGATTTATAGTTATTTCATTTATAATTTTAGACAAATATTTTTGGAGAAATTCTTTATTTGAGTAAGCTTAATTTATTTGTCGAAATATGATAAGCTAAGTTTTGATTGTATTAAACTAATACAACTGTTTTTTGTGATGACTTGTCCTAGAAAAATTCAGAAATGTTATAGATAACCAAATTAACAACAGCCTTTTCCAAGTTAAAGTTACAATTTCATATTTTTAAGTTATATTTTTAAAATGTATTAAAATAAAGCCCTAAAATAGATGGTATCTATAAACAGTCCTACCTTGTTAAAGATTAATCCTATAATTCACTATTGCCAGTTGAGAAATTGGAAAAAAGATCATTTTCAACTTCAAAATCAAACGTTTGAAGATAGCTCTTCCATGGTGGGGAATAGGAAAACGAGGGAGGTAATTGTGTTATTATTTCTGGTGTGAAGATTTTTAAGTGGGAGAATAATACCTATGATCGTATAATAGTGAGTTGACAACCCATTGAGCAAAAGACATAGAAATAATTATGTTTTGACTTTCTTAGAAAATATGAAATTGTAACTTTAAGTAATAACATACATGTAGTCTGTGTTGATGTATTTTCAGGGAGGAGCTGGATATAGATCTAAAAGATATTTACTATAAATTACGTTGTGTATTGTTTCCTATACCACAACTTGGATTCAATCGACATATTGTACGAGAAAGTCCAGATTTTTGGGGTCCACTTGTCATTGTGCTATTGTACTCAGTTATCTCCCTTTATGGACAATTCCGAGTAAGTAAATTATATTCAACTTTGTACTATTATTGATTTAGTAACTATCAATTAAAAAATTATTTTGCACAATTGTATTCTGGGTATAAGGTTATAGCTGCAGATACTCATTTGGATTTTCGTACATTATCTACTTTTTCACAGTTATCTTAACATTTAATTAAGAGACAAAGAGAAATGGGTTTTTTAACATTCACTCAACATGAACTAGGTCATTTTGGGACCAGCATATGTTTCAATTTTATTTCAATAATTCGCTTGGATATAAGGGTCTTTAGCTGTGGGAGGAAACCGGAGAACCCCGATAAACCTCATGGTGACCCTACTCCTTGCCATGTAGAAATGAGGAATCGAAACCACTCCTCTTGCCACAGAACTTCCCGTCGTTAATGAGGAAAACAAATCAGTCGGATTAAAAACCAAGTTCATCAAATGTTTTTACCCAAGACTTATAGATGGCACTTGCATTTGAGAGGAGCATACAAGTACTTTGTTTTTTGATTTGTTTATCCCCATACCCCCACCCCCCACCCCCCCAAACTAAAACTAAAACTAAGACGCACTTTTATTAAGTTTCAGAAGAACAAAATGTTTAAATTGTTGTTGCCTAAATATTTTTTATTAATCATCTTGTAGGTTGTGTCATGGATTTTAACCATCTGGATATTTGGATCTTTTATTGTTTTCTTATTGGCAAGAGTTCTCGGAGGGGAAGTAAGTAGATTGATATATTTATGAAAGTGGGATGGACAAAAAAAAGATGTAGTCTACATTATACCTGTACTATTGGCAGAACGTTAAAGATCTCCCGACAGTTGAAAATTGAAATAAGAGGGGGCCAAGCCGCCCTTTTAATGTAACATAAGCCCTTTATTATCATCATCGTCTTTCCTTTTTGAGCACTTTGTATATAGAAATAATGACTTCCCTGAAAACAAAATTGAGAAAAGTCAATGTAACCCAGGTATCCTTTAATCTTGTGTATTTAGCACTAATTTCTTTCACATTCGTTTAATAACAAATCTTTATTTAAAAATTCGTAAAAATCCTTTAAAATCACCAAAAGTCATCTAATTTGTACTTGTGTCCAGTTTAAAGCTGACTGATTAATTTTGATAATGAGTGTCCAATTTACAAGTATCTAATTTCCTGACCACTGTTCAAAAATTAATCATTATACATCATTAATCAATTGGGTTGTTTATTTTTTAACAGTGATTGAGAAATTAAACACTTATAAATTGGACACTCATTATCAAAATTGAATGGTCAGCTTTAAACTGGACAGAAGTACAAATAAAACGATTTTTGGTGATTTTAAACAGTTTTTACAAATTTTTAAACAAAGAATTGACATTAAACGAATGTGAAAGAAATTACAATGTAGTGCTAAATACACAAGATTAAATCATACCTGAATTATAGTGAGTGTCATATTGTTCAAACTGGTTTAGCCCTGGACAACCAGAAACTATTTATTGTGTTTTATGATTTAATTTCTTTGACATGTGAATTGAATGATAGTTAAAGCCTAGCTTACAACCTGTAGAGGGGAAAATTTTTAGTAAACTCGTGCGTGAGCCTTACGCATCACTTGCTTGTGTTTGACACCATAGAAGATCACAGACTGGTCGTAGAGACTTTTGGTCCGGCACATACAAAATTTTCTTCCGGTGTCTTGTGGCTCGTCTGCAAGCTACCAAACCCTACGACCCATATGCAGTCGTTATTGTTTGTATTTTAGAGACCTGAAAGAAGCTCTCCTTAATCAACAAATTGAAAAAATTGCTCCCCTAAAAAAGCTCTCCCAGTTTCAACAACAAGAAATTAAGGAGAGTGGTCTGATATTAAAGGGGCTGTCCGGGCAAAATTTCCCTCATAGCACACTGTATGGCGTATGCCCGTCTTCATTAGCCCAGGTTAGGAGCAGAACAGTAGGACGTTAAACCCCATTTCATTTCATTTCATTTCATTTCTGATATTAAAGGTAGTGATTAGTTGTGTGTATGGGAAATGGTTCTGAAGATCAATAACTGCATGTAATGGGGTCATTCCTGGTTCCATAAATGATAATAAACCCCCCATGACTTTGTAAAGGAGAGCAACTTTCAATTTTAAGGAGAGAGAGAAAAAACTTGCCTACTTCGACATTTAGGTGCGTGACGGGCACTTGAGAGCGATCGCTCGCCTTAAAAAACAATGACTGCATACGGTGGGTTGTGAACTGGGCTTTAGTTCTCTGGCAGACGACGATCAAAACTGACTGTGTACAGTACCAATCAGACTGATTTATCCACCTGATAGTTTATATAAGTTATCATGTGTTAGTATCAGCATCAACTAAGATTCTGTCTATTGTTTTACCAGGTTACATATTCACAGTGTCTGGGTGTTATTGGCTACTGTATTTTACCATTACTTGTCATGGCAACCATATTACCAATTGTCAAGTCTTTTTATTATCTAAGTTTCCTTTTAAAGGTAGGTCACTAAGATTGAATTGAAGTTTGCTGGCAATACACATTTGTCTATTTTTTCTTTTTTCGTGATATTTTTTTTTACGTGTCCAGCACAAAGTTAAAAATTTCAGCTACACAAGTAAAATCATTATTTGCAGGCCTGCTCTCACTTTAATTTCAGTTTAAACTTTGTTAAATCCAACTTGTCTTGTTTCCTAGAATGTATTACCTTCAACATTCAACTAGGAAATAACTCTTAAAAACTTTCAAAATGAAACAAATGTAATGTGAATTTACATTTAAAAACTACGTCATATAACAGCAGAGAGAAATGGTGTATAATGTCCACTTGACACATACTAGGTCATTTCGGGACTAACATATTGTTCAATTTTATTTCAATAACTCGCTTGCACGTAGTGGTCTTTAGAAGTGGGAGGAAACCAGAGAGCCCGGAGAAAACCCATGAGGTTGGACAGCCGACCCTACTTCTTGTCACATACTACCGAGGAATCAAAATATCGCCAGTTGACTCAATGACAGAGCTTATGATTTAATGTGCACACGCTAACCACTCGGCCAGCCAACATCCCACGTCATATAACTCATTGTATATGATGTATTTATTTGTGTTTTTCAGTTGTTAGGTGTTGTGTGGGCAGCTTACAGTGCCGGTTCCTTACTCTGTGTTCAAGAGCTTCAGCATAAAAAACCTCTTCTTTTATATCCAGTCTTTTTACTTTATATATATTTCTTATCTCTTTATACTGGAGCCTAGAAACAAGGGAAACAACTCAAAACGGACTTAAATCTTACAAAATCCAGAACGTGGAAATGCCTTTTAAATTTTATATTATGATAATATCACCAACCTCCTTGTGTGAGATTAACTCGAAGGCTTAAACACTTGAGTAAAAGAACAAATACAACAGTTGTTAGAAGATTACCTATTAACAAGAATGGAAACTGGTCTCTTTATACCAGAAATGACCATTTTCTTACCACAGCAATTGTTATCTTAGGTATATGACCTTGGGTTAGTGCTAAAAGATAAGGCCAACTCAGTTTTTCGTCATAGCTCACAAGATGTAAACAGCGCTAGGGCTAATCCCAAGCCTAACCCTAACCCTAACCTACAATCTCGCCAACAATCACATGCCCTAACCATATTTTCATCTCAGTGACCTTGACAAAAATTGAGCTGGCCTTAACAAATAGATTTAGCCATGATGTTGCAAGTATCCGAGACGTGATGTTGTAGAAAGCAAGTAGAACCCTTCTTCTATAGATGTCATAACTGATTATACACATATTAAACTGGATATTAAAGGGGATTGTTTTGAAAAAATGTTTATATAAAGGGAACTAACTTCTACTTAAATATCTTCACAGTATCACGGTATAACAATGCATGTCAGATTTGTTGACTGTATTAAAAGGAACTGTATATAGATGGTTTCGATGGAAGATGATTATTTCTCACTGAAATTCATTACTTTGTAACAAGTCATGTGATTGGTGGAGTGGGGAAGTTTTAAAACACCTTGACAGTGTGAAGATGTCTAGAGAATTAAACAATATTTTTAGATCTATATTATTTTTATATGGGAATCTGTAAATAACAACATAGTATGCATTAACAAAACATAACACAAGGTATATATAATATATGGATATATTCCCTATCCCTTGTCAGTTGTGCAGGACAGAGGGCCTGAGAAGGACAACTGTCTAGTCGTTCGGATGGGACGAAAAACCAAGGTCCTGTGTTGTACACATTGGTGTTCACTAAAAGATCCCATGACAGTTGAAATTCGATATAAGAGTAGTGCTGCTGCCCGGTCAAAATTTCCCTCATTCCACACTGTATGGCTTATACCTGTCTTCATTAGCCCAATTGAAGCAGAACAGTAGAACGTTAAAACCCATTTCATTTCATTTTTATATATAGATATAACTACTTCTCTGTTATTTAATAAGTTAAGGAAAACGTGACCTGCATGTGTTACAAAACATCGTTATTAAATAACAGAGAATTACGGTAGTTATAATCCATATATACCTTGTGTTGTGTTTTGTTGTGATTAGGTGACCAGGTAAACCATCTAGAGGTCATTTAAAGAAACAACATAGAATGCAATAACAATGGAAGTTTTCGATTTATGTATATACTATTTGATACCTAAAATCATATCCTACTGAGTGAAATTAATTTTACGACAAATTCAAGAGAAAAATAATTTTTGTTGAGATATTTGTTGTTTTTTTTATCTGCATAACTCTTGTTTGCTTATGTTTTTAACATCCCATTCACACCATATAATATTCATATTAAGGTCAGACCAATTTAAAATTTTGGTGTTTAGGATCTCGGTAATTAGCCTTGTGATTGGCTATCTTTGAAATTTAAAAACTTTAAGATTAATTGGCAGTGGATGTTAGCCTTATGATAGACTACAAGCTATGTTTGGGTTTTCTTTCTGTAAAATTTAAAAACTTCAACAATAATTGTAGCCAAATATAGCAAGCCAATGTTGATGGGTTTTTTTGTTTTTAGATTATTTTTTTCCAAGAAATAGAAAAACAAAATTCTGTATAATTAATCCTGAAGAACTAGAATTTAAATTGGTGTGGCTGTTTCGTTTACCACTGTATATTATTTCTATGCAATGAAATCATTGTGATCTTTCATAATTTCTCTAAAATAATTTCACGTTTTTCAGTATCTGCTACATTTACCATGTGAACCAAGTGACTCTGGGGATCTGATAATCAAAATAAACTACTGTATATTGTTAGCTATATGTTTAAGTTTATAAAATATTAACATAATGCAGGTACTTGATTGTCAGTCAAGAATGTTTTGAATTGACGGAATAGCAATTAAGTGACACCGAATCAACTATTGTCACAGTTCTGCAAATTCTGAAATGAGATATGAGGTGAACAGAATCGTTACGTTTAAGTTATAGCTATGGTGACTAGTCTAGATACTAGGGGTGTTTATCAACCACAGATTAGCAAAATTAATTTGCATTCAATCAAATTTTCATCTGTAACGTCCATCTAATTCAAATATCGGTTACCCTAATAAACAAATTTATCGACACCAATTTACAAAGCGATTACCACAAATCGCTAAATCACCCCTAGGTGTGATTTGGGTGATCAATCACCTGTTATTTTTTTCAACTATGACCAGCCAGAAGAATTGTTTACAGCTAATTTGCACATTTAACGAACTCTCGGAAGTAGTTTGAAATTGACTATACTGTCACATGACACTAAATTCAAATTGATTTGGCAAGTTGATAAAAAAAAAGCCTAGTCTCCTATATGCAGTTTACAAATTGAACCAATAAAATCGATACATTTGGAAAACTAATCTGACCGCTAAACAAAACAATGAATGTTGTAATTCTGGATCTTTATAACTTGATTATTTTGACTAAAGCATTCAAGATATTGAGATCTTGTGAAGAAAGTCCTCACGATTCCCTGAGTCACTGTGTGTGTTTATTTTATCATGTTAAATAGCCATTTTGTGAAATCAGTTGTTGTAAGATATATTTATTGTTGATATTTGTATATAGTGTAAATAAAGAACAGAGGGAAATAATCCTAAATTTGTGTTTGTAATCCATTCACCTGTAAACATTCAAAATAACTGTTACTTTCATATACTCCTTTACTAAACCAACTTATCTATAAATAGGGGTCTGTAGCCTTCTTGAGTTCTTTGTGTTAATTGAGTGACTTCCCTTGATTAATAAAAGGCTTTGATCCTAGATGGAATTCTGGGATGGAGTGAAATGTAAGGTGGCTGTTTTTATTAGCCCTTCTGATTATCATAAACAATCCAGGCCATCTTGTGGCCTATACATCCCAATACCATATTACGCTACTATGTCCATAATACATTTATGGGGTCAAACACCTATGGTTTTAGAGTTATTCAAGGAAATTGGTCTTTCGGCAACCATATTGGATATGTTATCATAGTGACATCATACGGACATGACATCATCATTTTAGGACTGGCTGGTATTGAATTCCTATCTGTCCAAGATTTTTGGTAAACAGCCTCCATCTTGGATTTGACCCCACCCGCTGTCCTTATTTGAATTCTGACTTTGGTAAGCTTAGAACATACTAGATATCAAAACATCTTTTGTTCATTGTAATTTGTTCCAACATTAGATAGGGGGTTGGATGGCTGAATAGTTAGCATGTGCGCACTGTATCATAAAGTCTGTCATTGAGTCAACTGCTGTGGTTTCAATGCCTGTCAACCTTGTGGGTTTTCTCCAACTGCTAAAGACCCCTACGCGTAAGCGAATTATGAAAATAAAATTGAACCATACTCCATGTCACGTACAACCGGGGAATCGAAACCACGCCAGTTGACTAAATGACAAACCTTATGATGCAATGCGCATATGCTGACCATTCGGTCATCCAACCCCCCACCACTAATGAAGATGGACTACACATAGGAAAGGACTAGAGTTTACCGGTTAACTAGTGCTATTCCACTTATAACGCCCTTCATCATACTAAACTTACGCTGTCTGTCTACAACTAGCTCCGTGGGAGACGGTGGCTACCTGGATAAGATGCTGGCTTGCTAGCCTGGAGGTCGCGGGTTCGATCCGGTGTTGGTCAAGAAAGTTCATTGGGATTTTCCAGCGTGGTTTTCCCGGGTCAGTGATGCAGGAAGGAGGGCGTGACAAGGACAGTTGTCTAGTTGTTTGGATGGTACAAAAAAACGAGGTCCTGTGTACACATTGGCGTGCGTGTAAAAGATCCATTGGCAGTTGGAATTTGATGTAAGAGTAGGCCTTAGTGCCGCTGCCTGGGCAAAGTTTCCCCCATAGCACACTGTACCGGTCATCATTGGCTCAGTCGGAGTAGAACAGTAGGATGTTAAACCTCATTTCATTTAACATCTTGTCAAAATAGTGCTAAAGTCATTTATGACTAACAAACTATTATCTTTTCTACAGTTATGTTTCCAATGGGAGGGAAGAGAATTTTGCCTATGAAAGGTTCTGTTGAAACTTTTTTTGCAGTCCATTCATATGTCCACTTTAAGGTTGACAGCATACGACCCCCTTCTGCCCGTCTACTCCCTATCCAACGGCCCTTATAACGTTGTCTACTCTATTTTACTTCTAAAATTCTTAAGGTGTTCAAGTACAGGCACCAATGGTTACATCAATATTGTCAGGGATATGCAAAGCCCAGCTGAACCGGAGAGGGACCCTGGGCCTGACTAGAATCGCGGGGCTTATCCTTTTGAATGGGTTTTGACCAATCACAGAGAAAGTTGAGGGGTTGCAGATTCACCCAGTCTCCGCCCATCGCGGTGCTAGAAGCCTAGACCAATCACCAAGTTTAACTTCATAGAGAAGGTTGAGGTATAGCTCAGTCTCCGCCCTCGTGCCACTAGATCGATTACCGTGAAACTTTCATCTGGAATTTGAATTTTTTCTCTTTGTGCCATGAACCGCGGGGCCTGGGCCCCTCAGGCACATGCCTAAGCTGGACTTTGGGGATAAATATATTTGTGATTCCAATATATAAATAACCAGAAAGTCTGTTAGAATATATAACAATATACTTTTAAATCACAACATTATCAATACAATATCATAAAAAAACCATTTATTATAATAGACAAGACCAGCTTTTATAACATAATTATTACTTATCTTTCATAATATAAAATAATATAACTACCAACAATCCTAACTGGTAGATAGACAAGTTTGTTTCTCACCTTGCCTGTCCAACCTCGTTGGGTTTTGTCCCACAGCTAATGTACCATATTGCACAAGCGAATTATTGAATATTAGTAGAGTAGACCTTAAACCCTATTTCCCTCTTTCCATCAAGTGCTTGTTATATAAACTTAGTAACTGACAGAGAGAGACATACGCAAACTAGGTCATTTACGGGACTAACAACAGACTAGGCTCCTCATATAAATAAAATATCATCTGTAGTATACATGTATACAAACAACTGTCACCCAGACAACTGCAACTAGAACAACTTCCAACCAGACAACTGCCTCCTGGACATTTACAATCCAGACAACTGCTGCTACATCATTTGGAAGCCGGACAACTGCCACTAAGATAATTGTTAATCTAACAACTAGAACAGCCACCACTGTGATAATTGTCACCCGAACGACTGACATTAGGATAATTGTTGACCTAACAACAACTAGAACAGCCACCAATGGGATAATTGCTAATCTAACAACAACTAGAACACCCACCACTGGGATAATTGCTATAATAGATAGTTATTGCCTATAATATCATCTTTCATAGATAGACAAATAACACCAGCATATAAATAATATATACACTTTAGAATATACAATAAACACTACAATAGTTATATATAAACTGTGCAATATACAATATACTGTACAATATTTATATATAAATTGTACAATAAACCCTACAATATTTATATATAAATAACAATATATAAAGCTGTAATCCTGTATTGGTTAGTTACAGATTGTGATAATCGTGAACACAACTTGACAACATGATAACATTTAATGTGGTATTAAAAACTTACAATTGTTACATAAAAACTTGTCTAATTCACCAGTCAGTTAATTAAATATACATTATTCAGAAGCTAAATCTGCCTATTGCAGGTCTTTCTTTAGGCCTGAAATGTTATCTAAATTATTAATTGGACATTAATTAACTTATCCAGACCATAATCAACTCAATGATGTCATCACTAGCCTGCGATATTTATCGGATTAGGATCTGATCTGCTGTTCAATCAATTCTCATTCATGATTAAATCAAGAAATGGATAATCAAGACTATGTTTTTTATCGTACCGACTTCAGTAATGAAGATCGAGGCTAGGCCCAAAATTCAATCGTTAATATCTCAGTTCATAGTGGATCAATTTGACTGAAATTTTCAGTTTCTAACTATTATAGCGAGAACTGTCAGCTTTTTATCTAATCTCCCATAATGTATCTTTAACCCCTTAACTGCGTAGTTTTTAAAACGTTAACTACCCCCTATTGAGTAATTAATTTGATGAAAAATGTCATTTTTTGGCCTATTTCTTCCTGAATACAAATTTTAGTGGTCTAATACCATATTAAAACTAACGGTAAATAGAGTTGTCTCCCTTCAATTAGATTTCCTTGACCAGGCGAATATAACGTCCTACACATGCTGCGATCGTGTTCGAAGAATAGGTTGGGGAAAATACCTCCAGGGCGTTATATTACGTCCTACACACGGTGAGTGGCAGTTGTCCAGGACATTATATAACGCCCTACGCAGTTAACTGGTTAAATATATTTACAAGGTCTACTGTTCCCGGCTCTGTATATACTATTAATTCCAAGCTACTTCATAATTCTATAAAATATGTTTCAATATAAGGTCATGTCAAATTAATTTCTTGTTTTACAACACTGTAAATTAAAAGTTAAAGCAAGAAAAAAAAAACAACAAAAAAAAACCATAAAGGTGTCTGGGTCACTTTGATAATAATTGTGAAAACAAAAATGAAATATTATCATACATAATGGGAAAGATGAAAACGTGAAATATGGAAATTGTTTAAATACAAAATGTTACATCACAGATGATTGGACGATACTGTTTAAACCCAATAACTACTCTTTTCATTGGTTGTTGGAGTGTTGCATGCTCCCTCTGTATCACCCGGTCGTTCCCGAAACTGACTAGCCTGAAGAGGAAAAAAAATGTAATATTAGTACATTTCTAGTTAGTGGTTTACAAAATAAGCACATACAGAAAGAAAGCATTATGTGCTTTAAATTAAATGAAGTGTTATTGCAACACCCAATAAACTGGGTGATTTGATGATAAATTATGATTCTACATTGAAGAAAAAAAAAACTGCCATGACTTCTAAATTTTAAATATCAAACCAGTGATGAAATGTAACCTTCAATGAAATTTATAAAAAAATAAACCCAAACATGTTAACAAACAGTAAATAAAAAGTTATTCTTTCACCATAAACACTACCCATACCACCCTCTCATATAATAACATTACCCACATCCCTCTCATATAATAAACACTACCCACACCACCTCTCATATAAAAAACACTGCCCACCACCTCTCATATAATAAACACTGCCCCCACCGCCTCTCATATAATAAACATTGTCCACACCACCTCTCATATAATAACATTACCCACATCCCTCTCATATAATAAACACTGCCCCCACCACCTCTCATATAATAAACACTGCCCCCACCACCTCTCATATAATAAACACTGCCCACACCACCTCTCATATAATAAACACTGCCCCCACCACCTCTCATATAATAAACACTGCCCCCACCGCCTCTCGTATAATAAACACTGCTCCCACCGCCTCTCGTATAATAAACACTGCTCCCACCACCTCTCGTATGATAAACACTGCCCACATCCCTCTCATATAATAAACACTGCCAATACCCCCCTCTCATAAAATAAACACTGCCCACATCAATCTCCTTTATTAAACACTGCCCACACCACCTCTTGTTTAATAAACACTGCCCCCACCCCTCTCATATAAAAATTCTAACAAAAATAAACTGAAAAGCAAAACAACAACAAAAAAAGGAGATGAGGACTGTTCCATTTAAATTAGCTATGGGGGTTGGTAAGCTATTAAATCAAATTGCCTTTTGCAGGATGGGTCTTGAGAAATGAATTTTGTTGGTGGAGGTGTCAGGAAAAATGAATTTTGTTAGTGGAGGGGTTCTTAAAAATATATTTTTTTCATGGAGGGATCTTGATAAATTCTTTTTTTTTTCATGGAGTAATCTTAGCAAATGATTTTGTTAGTGGAGATGTTCCATAACACTGTAACCCAGGTATTATTCAATCTTATGTATCTAGCACTAATTTCTTTCACATTCGTTTAATATCAAATCTTTGTTTAAAAATTCGTAAAAATCATTTAAAATCACCAAAAATCATCTAATTTGTACATGTGTCCAGTTTAAAGCTGACTGATTAATTTTGATAATGAGTGTCCAATTTACAAGTATTTACACTAGGGACCGGGTATCATCCAGATTTTACGAAAAAAGGTAAGAAACTACCCTTATCATCTAGAATCTAATACTCGTCAACAATGTGTTAAATGCCGTCAAGATTTATCAAAAACGCCCAGTTTGTGCTAGCGTGTAGATTTAGAAACACCGTTTAGTTTTGACATTTATCGTCTACTTTACGACCGTCCAGTTTCTCGGAATGTTTTAGATTTGAAAGGGGTTTAGTTTTTAGATAAGGCATTATTTTCCCGGACGTCTTCGAGAAATGAAGAGTGTTTAGATTTTATGCCAAATTACCACTTTACCGACAGCCGTATTTGTGGTTACGATTTATGTGGTTACAATTAATAGAAAAAAAGATTTTAAAAATATTCACTGATTCAACTTGGTCATCCTTTTATTCTTTCTGTTATTCATATCCCATCAAAAATTAATCATTATACATCATTAATCAATTGGGTTGTTTATTTTTTAACAATGATTGAGAAATTAAACACTTGTAAATTGGACACTCATTATCAAAATTGAATGGTCAGCTTTAAACTGGACAGAAGTACAAATTAGATGATTTATGGTGATTTTAAGCAGTTTTTACAAATTTTTAAACAATTTGGGGGGGAAGGGGTGGGGGGGGAAGGGGGTTCCTCTAGAAAGATACAGGTATTGTTAAATAGAAAAACCCTCACAACTGAAATAATCAAACTAAAAAACACACAAACAAGGAAACCATATTACAAAAGTTAGTAACACCGAAAATAAAATGGTAATTTTCATTGGAGCAGACAGTTTAAACTGACCAATCCAATCACCTTATTTCATGTGTATGTAGTTTCTAAAATCCAGTAACCTGAACATCACTGTCTTCTCCAGGGTCTTGTGCTGCGGAATTTACATTTTGTGAGGCTAAATGACAGGTACGCAGCTTGTTGTAGAACTGTGTGTAGGGTAGACCTCCAACCAATGACGGTGCAGGACTTAGACAGGGCGTGGAAGAACGAGAGGAACTAAGATCACATTGATCCAGAAGATGGACAAGTTCTGTGGGAGTTGGTCCACCGGGGCTCAATTCTGGAAATGAAAAAGTAAATAATTAATCCATGTCATTTTGAAAATTCCATCAGACCGTTATTAACACAGTAAATAAATAGGGTTTCCTGGCAACCAATATACACAGTATTTCCTAACAACAAATAAATGTTCTACAATAGCATTTTGAGGGGAGACAAATAACCTTAAAATCATTGACCCGTACAGAGTTTCAAGGGGTATACTCGACTGAGCATTCTGGAATCCCAAAAGATAGTTACATCGAGTGAATAGGGAGAGAGAGAAATGGGGTTTAACGTCCACTCGACACAAACTAGGCATTTCGGGACTAACACATGGTTTTTAATTTTATTTCAATAATTCGCTTGCGCGTAGGGGTCTTTAGCAGTGGGAGGAAACCTGAAGACCCGGAGAAAACCCACGAGGTTGGACAGGCAACCCTACTCCTTGTCACGTATAACTGGGGAATCGAAACCCTGCCATTCTACTCAACCATTCGGCCATCCACCCCCCCGAGTGAATAGGATATTTGGGACTGTAACGCACATTATGTCTGATATGAAAATATCCCATCCAATCATGACAGCTGAAACATTGGTTGCGTTTAATTGCTTCCGTTTTCTGGACTGAAAGAACTATGATAGGACAGAATTCTGTGTAACTCGAATGCAATTCTGTCCATTCTGGACGTTCAGGACTAACAATCAAGCGTTCCCAAGGTTTCGTTGACAATGGGGAATAACTCTGTATAAAACTGGTGTGATATAAAATGAAGTTTTATGACAGGTCAGCTAAAACTAATGTGAAAGACTTTTGGAAACCTTTATGGCATGGGTTCCACGTTGGCCGTATATGTCGGTCAAGACCTAGTTATGGAATATTTAATTAATAAATAATTATCATAAGCCTTACTAATATTTCATTTTTAAGTCCAATATATTTTTTGTGGACACCATGCTGACAAAGAGGTATAGACACGTGAATTCACAATACCCTACCATGAATAAAAAACATGAAATGTGAAGTCAATTCAGAACATTCTGGAATTAAAATGAAGTAGCGTTATTGACAGTATGGTTCAGTGGATGTTATGTAATAAGTATACTTACTTTGTTCCTTGTTCAGCTGATCCATAGCAGTCGTTAAATCCCACATCTAAAATAAATTTGTAAAATTCAAAAATATAATTTCTAACAGAGAGAATTCGGGTTTAATGTCTACTTTTCATAAACTAGGTCATTATGGGACTAACATATGGTACAATCTTATTTCAATAATTTGCTTGTGCATGGGGTGGGTGGGGTCCTATGCAGTAGGAGGAAACCTGGAGAAGAAACACGAGATTAGGCAGACGACCCTACTCCTTGTCACTTACAAGCTTAGAATCGAAACCATGGAGGTTGGGTGTTCGATCCCTGCATTGGCCGAGAAAGTTCATCCAGATTTTCCGGCGTGGTTTCCCCTTGTCAGTGATGCAGGACGGATGGCCTGACAAGGACAGCTGTCTAGTCATTTGGATGAGACGAAAAACCGAGGTCCCGTGTATACATTGGAATGCACGTAAAAGATCCCTTGGCAGTTGGAATTCGATATAAGAGTAGGCGATAGTGCCGCTGCCCGGGCAAAATTTCCCTCATAGCACACTGTATGGCGTATGCCCGTCTTCATTAGCCCAGGTTAGGAGCAGAACAGTAGGACGTTAAACCCCATTTCATTTCATTTCATTTCAACAAAAGTTGCAAAAAAAGAGAGTTTGATGGTCTGATTATCAGTCTGCCTCAACGTGCTTTGAGAATCTCCTCGAAATAAAAGATTATTTTATACTGACCTGTATGCTACCATTAGTATGTCCAGTAAATAAATATCTTCTAGGTCGTGAACCCATTCTATTTGAACCCTCACATTCGTGTACACAGAAAGCACTGATAGTACTGGAATCAACTGACTTTATAACACAAACCCTGAAAACAATAAAATAAACATGGTTAAACATACATTACTCAAGAGGTAAATCTGTCTATTGCAGGTCTTTCTTTAGGCCTGAAATGTTATCTAAATTATTAACTAGACATTAATTAACTTATCCAGACCATAATAAACTCTCGATGCCAAAGTTACTCTGCGATATTTAGCGGATTGGAATACATTTTGTGAAGGATGATTTAACATCAAAATGGTTAATCGAGACTATTTTTTATCATACCGACTCTAGTAATTATGATCGAGGCTAGCCCAAAATTCAAAAGCTTATTTCTCGGATCAGAGTAGAGCAATTTGACTGACATTTTCAATATATTCTATTTACGTTGTCTATTTTTTTTTAACAATTATAGCGAAAACTGTCAACTCTTTATCAAATCTCCCATAATGCCTCTTTAGTTACATGCTGCACTGGTAGCTTTCGTAGGTATATATTGAGGTTAGAATATGTCAACACCATATTTTTAGACAATTTGTTAACGATTCTGCCTCCATATCACCAGAACAAAATTAACAATGTGAGCATCACTGCGACACCAACAGAGACAAGCTGTCAAACATCAAAAAAATTTCAAATTCACTGACAAAGAATTGCTTGACACTCTGACATTGCTGTGTATGTTGAAAGTCCACTCGACACAAACTAGGTCATTTTAGGACTAACATATGGTTCAATTTCATTTTAATAATTTGCTAGCGTGTAGGGGTCTTTCGCAGCGGGAGAAAACTGGAAGACCCAGAGAAAACCCACGAGGTTAGACAGGCGACCCTACTCCTTTTGTCCAGTACAACTCCCCAGACAGGATATGAACATGAGACATCCTGAATCAAACGGCCAGTGCCCTACCACCTGCTATTTCTGGAAAAAATGCTGTTGGCAATACTTGGCATATCTATAGCTTAATATATCAATGTTTGCTGATGATTTGAAAAGCCAATTTACCTAAGCCGTATTTTGTAAATCACAAAAATAATTTAACTAACCTTTGACCCGAGGAAGAAAATCGTATAAAAAGTTGATCTGTTTCTGGTACAACTTTCTGTACGAATACTTGCTGATCATCTTGTTCACCAAATGGACCTGAAATTATTACATCAAATATTAAACATACATTATGCAAGAGCTAAATCTGCCTATTGCAGGTTTTTATTTAGGCCTGAAATGTTATCGAAATTATTAATTAGACATTAAATAACTTATCCAGACCATAATCAACTTTCGATGTCATCACTAGTCTGTGATATTAACTAACTGGATTTGAATACATTTTGTGATGGATGATTTAACGTCGAAATGGATAATCAAGATTTTTTTTTTATCATACCAATTTTAGAAATGATGATCGATGCTAGGCCTAAAATTCAATCGCTAATATCTTGGTTCAGAGTGGAGTGATTTGACTGATATTTTCAGCATATTCTATTTACGTTATCTATTTTTTAACTATCATAGCGATAACTGTCAGCTCTTTATCTAATATCCCATAATGCCCTTTTAAATAAAACAAAGTTATTACATCAGATATTACATCAAATAACAAAGTTATTACTGATATCACATCAAACAAAGTTATTACATCAAATATCAGATAACAATAACTCAGACAATTGCTGACGAACTTGAAGAAAACTTAAACATGATTATCTTAAGAATGCAGCCTTTCCATTGGCCAAGACCTAATATTGGTGCTTTAACTTAAGTGCTCAGCCAATCAACAATTAGTTTAAGATTTCTTGAATAAGGCCCCAGGTCCAAATTATTCTGTTGTTTTATTTCGTATCATTTACAGAAAGCAAGGCACCTTTGCTATTGCTGGCTTAAATCTGAAGGAGTCTTATAAAGCGCTAAAATCCATATCACAATAGGGAAATGCTCTATGCGTTGACCACACATCAAGCATACTATAACACAAATTACACATGATAATTATCATGTCCCAGTTTAATATAACGTTTAAAAAGATGGGTCTTTAGCTTTGATTTAAATGAAGTTAATGTTTCAGCAGACTTTAGTTTTAGGGGTAAGGTATCCAAAGCGTTACAGAAATATGAAAAAGATCAGGCACCAAATATTTCAGATGTTGATCATTGCAGAAAAGTTTGCAGAAGATTTGATTTCTGTTCCCTCAGTTCAGTTTATGAAAAAAAGACTAAAAACGATCAAATCAGTACAGTATAACGATAAAGCTACGGCAGTATTTTTAAATCCAGTAAACAGACATAATATAACACAACACAGTTGTATGGATAACAATCACTATATTATATACACACAACGTTTCGACAAGATTTCACTGGTCGTTATCAAGCATACAGATGAGGAAAAAAATTATGACAGTGTTATATATAAGGTACAGAGAGAGAGAAATGGGGTTTAACGTCCACTCGACACAAACTAGGTCATTTCGGGACTAACATATGATTCAATTCTATTTTCATAATTCGCTTGCGCGTAGGGGTCTTTAGCAGTGGGAGGAAACAGGACACAGAGAAAACCCACGAGGTTGGACAGGTGACCCTACTCTTTGTCACGTACAACCGGGGAATCGAAACCACGCTATATATAAGGTATAGTCAACAATAACAGAGATGTCATGAAATAACAATTATCAAACTTTAGCTTAATGGGTTACACAAAATGAGTATACTGAGGTTTAATTGTGATAACTAGGGTTAGGGTTACGACATGGTATATACAGAAAAAGAATTAAAGAGGAAATGACAGGTGAAACCTACTAGGTGAAGTCATTAGATATTAGAGATAAAGTATTAAAGAGGAAATGACAGGTGAAACCTACTAGGTGAAGTCATTAGATATTAGAGATAAAGAATTAAAGAGGAAATGACAGGTGAAACCTACTAGGTGAAGTCATTAGATATTAGAGATAAAGTATTAAAGAGGAAATGACAGGTGAAACCTACTAGGTGAAGTCATTAGATATTAGAGATAAAGAATTAAAGAGGAAATGACAGGTGAAACCTACTAGGTGAAGTCATTAGATATTAGAGATAAAGAATTAAAGAGTAATTAATCAAAACATAGATGATGGGTGAAACCTACTAGGTGAAACCATAGTATATGTCTCTGGAGTTAAAATAAATGGTGAAAAAGCACCTTACTTATTGTGATATTCATATAGGACAAAGCTACGATAGTATATCTAAATCTAGTATACAAACACACTATTAACCTAAAACAGGCTATACATTGTTATACATACCAAAATCATTGCCTGCAGTATAGCTGGCTTGTGGATCCAGATCTTCAAGGGAGACAACTTTAAAGGAAGCTAGTGGTGTTGATCCTGGCTGCGTTGAAATCATTCCACGAAACCTCGTCACACTCCATGTTCTGACATGATTGTATTCGGAACAAACTAAAAACACAAGTAAATTCACAATAAAAGCACAGAGCCTTTTTTTAAATTGGCTTAGATATTAAATGGATTAGAAATGAAATGAAATGAAATGGGGGTTTAACGTCCTAATGTTTTGCTCCGACTGGGATAATGAAGACGGGCATAAGACCATACAGTGTGCTATGAGGGAAATTTTGCCTGGGCAGTGGCACTATCGCCTACTTTTATATTGAATTCCAACTGCCAAGGGATCTTTTTCGTGCATTCCAATACATACACGGGACCTCAGTTTTTCGTCTCCTTCGAAGGACTAGACAGCTGTCCTTGTCAGGCCCCCCATTCTGCACCACTGACAAGGGGAAACCACGTCGGAAAATCTGGATGTACTTTCTGGGCCAATGCAGGGATCGAACACCTGACCTCCAGGCTAGCGAGCCAGCGTCTTAGCCATCTAGCCACCGTGGCTCCCAAAAAATGGATTAGAACACAAGCGCCATTTAATAATTTAAGGTTAAAATGGGTACTTGACAATTGATAATATTTTGGCTAAATCTTGTCAAAACTTCAAACATTTATAACTTCGTTGAGAATAAGTTAATTTGAATGAAATTTTCAATATATTCAGTTTTTATTATCTTGTTTTGAACTGTTATAGCAAGACAGACATCTCTTTATCTAAATCTTACATAATGTGTCTTTAACTTCTTCAGTGCTGGATATTTAGTAAACAAACTAAAGTTATTGGGATTAAAACAAATGAAAATAATTACCAGACACAAGATGTTTTTCTGATAACATCACCTTGGTAACGGGACTACGATGAACTGTAAATGTTTGGAAGAGTTGTGGACCATGTCCGACAGTTTCTGGATGTTGAACTATAACACGAACTGTACCGGAACTGGTGCCGTACGCTATCTCTATCCAATTACCACTTAAACCTAGAAACATTCATATATTATACAAATTCAATACATTTATACCTACATAAAATTGTATATTTATACAAATTCAATTACCTTTTACACACCTCCACACTATATCTCCCGTAGCAACTATTGATGTTTTACACACCTCCACACTATATCTTCAATAGCAACGATTGATGTTTTACACACCTCCACACTACATCTCCCATAGCAACTATTGATGTTTTACACACATCCAGACTACATCTCCCATAGCAACAATTGATGTTTTATACACCTCCAGACTACATATCCCATAGCAACTATTGATGTTTTATACACCTCCAGACTACATCTCCCATAGCAACGATTGATGTTTTATACACCTCCAGACTACATCTGCTGTAGCAACTATAGATATTTTAAAGTGGCTATACCCCTGTTTTATCCTACTGTAAAGTCATTAGGGTTTGATATTGAGGTAACATTAACCTCCAATGACCACATGCTTTGAATTTCAAGTGTACAAGATAATTTTTATACTTTCAATGTGTGAGTCAATGGAACCTATTTCCATGGTTGTTATTCGGAATAAAACCAGCGGTCTCCGACCTTAGGATTTTTATTTCGAATAACATGACCACTGAAAACCTCTGATCGTCATTTGGATGATTTTGAATTCCTTGCAAACTGACAGTGGGCCTGACAAGGACAGCTGTCTAGTCCTTAGGATACGACGGAAAGATGAGGTCCCCTGTATACATTGGCGTGTACGTAAAAGATCCCTTGGCAGTTGGAATTCGATATAAGAGTAGGCCTTAGCACACTGTAAGGCGTATGCCCGCCTTCCTTAGCCCAGTCAGAGCAGGACAGTAGGACGTTAAACCACATTTCATTTCATTTTAATCATTTGATACTTCATAAATGTAACATAAAATATCTCTAGGGGGTTGATTGGTTTAACACATGTGCCCAGGCAAAATTTCCCTCATATAACACTGTATAGCGTACAGTTGGAACAGAACAGTAGGATGTTAAACCCCATTTCATTTCCTTGCCAACTACAATATTATGAAAGTTGATCGTACTTACTTGTTTTAGGGGTAAGATAAACACTAAGAGCTGTTACCATATCATTAGACGGATCTTTGTATAATTCTGTTACTAATAAATCATTATCCTTCATTCTTAATGGAAACTTTTGCATATCTGAAAACAAAATATTGAAACATATGTTACAATGTAGGAGGGAGAGAGAGATAAGGTTAAACGTCCACTCAACAACAAACAACACAAGTTAAGTCATTTCGGGAATAACAATTTTATTTCAATAATTCACATGTGCTTAGCGGTCTCTGGCTGTGGAAAGAAACTGGAGGACATGTGGAAAAAACGACCAAGTTTGACAAGAGACCCTACTCCTTGTCATGTACAAGCAGAGATTGAAAACACACCACTTGACTCAATGGTAGACACTATGATGGAACGTGTCACAAAGCCACAAACCCCCAATGTATGTTAGGGCTATCAAAACCATTCATATTTCAATATATAGAAATGTGGGGTTTTTTTAAATATGTATCGCAATGCAAACTTTAGCGAATAAATATTTCTCTTTGTTTTCTAATAGATTGCTTTATTTCATAAAATAATGTAATTGTATGGAAACACACAATCATTGCAATTTATGTAAAAAATGGCAAAATAAAAGGATTTTGATGATTCTAGACATTTTTCACTACTGTGAATGGTTATAATAAATAGAACCATTATTATAACCCAATATTTGACTCACCAATATAATAAATAGAACCATTATTACAACCTAGTAGAAGAAATGAACCAGCTGTATCATAACTTGTTATAGGGACTACATCTTGTATCTAAAAATAGACCAATAAATATATATGTAATCAATCATAAATCAATTATCTTCAAGGATCTAAATTATTCGCATAAATAATTATTCTAATCAATTGTTCTCAAGTATCTACGTCAATTAGGTAATTAATTATTTTAATTTTCTTCAAGGATCTAAATTTTTCGGAAAGATAATTATTTTAATAAATTGTCCTCCAGTATCTAAGGAGTTCAACGTCTTCTTGACACAAATTGGGTCATTCCAGGACTAAGATATGATTCAATTTTATTTTCATAATTTGCTTGCATGCAGAAGTCTTATGCAGATGGAGGATACTCTATTGCTTGTCATGTATAAGCTGGGGATCGAAACCATGCGACTTGACTCAGTAACAGACTTTATGATCTAAAGCACATGCGTTAAACCATTCAACCCCACAACCCCCGAGAAATGTTTTATATAATATGTTACATTTAAGAAGTATCAAATGATTAAAATGAGGTTTAACGTCCTACTGTTCTACTCCAACTGGGCTAAGGAAGACAGGCTTACGCCATACAGTGTGCTATGAGGAAAATTTTTCCCTGACAGCGGCGCTAAGGCCTACTCTTATATAGAATTCCAACTGCCAAGGGATCTATTACGTGCACGCCAATGTGTACAAGGGACCTCGGTTTTTCGTCTCATCTAAATGACTAGACAGCTGTCCTTGCTAGGCCCTCCGTCCTACACCACTGACAAAGGTAAACCACGATGGAAACAAAATGATTAAAATATTAAAATGTTATGTTTACCTGCCAATGTTGTGTCATTGAATGCCAGACACCAACTTTTCCCGTTTGACTTAGAGCTACCAACTGACTTCCAATAAAAAATAATGAATCTACGGATACATTCAGATTAAATACTCCTGAAAATATATGTATATAATACTCTTAAAAAAAATTTGAGTAGGACCAGATTAAAATACTCTTGTTAAATATGAGTATAACCAAATTAAACAGCAACAAGAAGGTTCCCATGACCAGATATCTGGTATACCAAAAACTATGTCAAACATATTTACATGGAAACATAAAAACAAAGCTTGCCTATCCCAAAATCAACTACAATACGATTATTATAATAATAATACACGATTTTTATGACGTAATATCCATGCATGAGCATGCTCAAAGCACAGCCCAAAACCGATCACAACTGTCACAAAGTAAATGCTTTCTTTAATTAAATCTGAAGTTTTTCAGTTCCAGGTGTTAATCAAATCACTGTTTGTTTATTTGGCTTAGGTATTACAAGGTGATTCTTATCTGCAGATTATACTAGAGCTGTCAAAAAAAATCAATACATCAGGCCCCCCGATTTCACATAGCATTCTCAGACTTAATATCTTTGATCCAGAAACACAAAATCTTGTACATAAGTTTTTTATTGATGTATTGGATACATTAAAACAAGTTTTATAAAGGGCAATATTTTAGATAAAATAAGGAGAAAAATTCTGAGTAAATTCTTAACTTAAGTTTGAGAATACTTTGTGAACTTAGGGCCTGTATATTGCGATATGGGTCTTTCGCGATATAGGCCTTCCGCGATGCGATTTTTTGACACAAGTTGCATGTATCAATATTTCCACTCTACTTTTATTTTATTTTCAAAATGGCTGCTTGTTGAGTGTCACTAGATCTTACCTATTTCTCTCGAGTCGCCATCATCATTGATATTCCACAATCTAATCATACTATCAAACGATGCTGCCACCATTTTATTAGAATGATCTTGATTTGGGTTTAAAACTTTGGCATTGATGGCTATTCTCTCTACCTGTATTTCCATATATGGACTGACCCAGATCAGATGCCATCCAGTGGAATCTTTCATTCTGTAAAACAAACAGAATAATTATGGAGAATACCATCCACAAAAAACCCTTTTAGGTCATTTTAGGATTGAAATGTGACGATAATCTTTAGCTTCATTTTAGTCATGAGAGTTCATAAGAAACCTCATCTCTCAACCCTCCGCGTTTTGCATCAATATATCTCAACGTTTTTAGCCACGTTCTCGTAGCTAGGGAGTCCAGTCTATCTGGACAGGCAGACAACAGGTTTTCTAAATTTGTATGCAGTGATTAAACATACATTATGCAAGAGCTAAATGCCTATTGCAGGTCTTTCTTTAGGCCTGAATGTTATATAAACTATTAATTAGACATTTATTAATCAACTCTAGATGCCATCTTATGTGTCGGATTTTCACTGGATTTGAACCTGATCTGCTCATGGCTCATTGATGATTAAAGGTGAGGCAGTCAATATTTACATGTACCCAGTGATAAAGGGTTAATATGATATATTGAAACAAAGGGTTAATATGATGATATACTGAAACAATATAAGTTGTAATACCTGAAACAGCAGACAAAGTGAAGATACGCAACACAAATCCAGTTATGATGACCCCTCACCATAGTAACACGTAATGGTTCAACAATAACAGCTACAAATAAAATAAAATCAGTCAATACATTACAGTAGGCGAGTCAATACATCTATATTACAGTGGGCGAGTCAATACATCAAGACTATTTTACAGTGGGCGAGGGACTACATCAAGACTATATAACAGTGGGTGAGTCAATACATCAAGACTATATTACAGTGGGCGAGTCAATACATCAATACAATATTACAGAGGGCGACTCAATACATCAAGACTGTATTACAGTGAGTCAGTCAATACATCAAGACTATATTACAGTGGGTCAGGCAATACATCATATATTTATTTTCCTTAATCAGTTGCCGCCATGACAGTTATCACAGACTTTCATTAGACTTGGCGAGATTACAAGAGAATTATACACCCGACCTCCAGGCTAGCGAGCCAGCGTCTTACACACTTAGCCACCGTGACCACAGAGAATTATACATGTTCAAGGCCCAATGTAAATAAACAATATAAAGGTACATGTCAATGTACATGATATTTAACAGTATGGTGTTGTTTTCCTTCACGGTTATTGGAGAAGACATGAAATGAAATGGGGTTTAACGACCTACTGCTCCGACTGGGCTAACGAAGACGGACATACACCATACAGCATGCTATTAGGGAAATTTTGTCTGGACAACGGCGTTGATGCCTAATTTTATATCGAATTCCCAGTACCGAGGGTTCTTTTACGTACCCGCCAATGTGTACACGGGACCTCAGTTTTTCATCCCGTCCGAACAACTAGACAGCTGTCAAGGGAGAACCACATCAGAAAATCCTGATAAACTTTCTCAGCCAACACTGGCATCGGACACAGGAACTCCAGGTTAGCGAGCCTCAGTTTTTCATCCCGTCCGAACAACTAGACAGCTGTCAAGGGAGAACCACATCAGAAAATCCTGATAAACTTTCTCAGCCAACACTGGCATCGGACACAGGAACTCCAGGTTAGCGAGCCTGGAGCCACCCTGACTCTCATTCAAAAGAACTTGATAAAAGTACTTACTGGTGGAACTACTGCCACAATCAAACATCTTTAGACGACTAAAATCTTGTGATGATGTACGAGAATGACGAAGATCAGCTGATGAATTGCGTGAATGACCTCTAGTACGAAGGTCATGAGAACCTTGACGGGAGTGACACATTCTACTATCTAACGACGAGTTTCTGAAACAAAATATAAAACATCTGTTTATTACATCAAAAGACACTCAATTAAAGATGTAAGATTTAGACCGTTCTTGCTATAATAGTTATATTAACGATACATTATGGAAGATTTAAATAAAGAGCTGCCTGTTCTTGCTATAATAGTTCTATTAAAGATACATTAGTAAGATTTAGATAAAGAGCTGTCCATTCTTGCTATAATAGTTCAAAAATAGATAATGTAAAATGAATATGTTGAAAATTTCATTTAAATTACTTTATTCTGAGTGAAGTTATGACTTTTTGAAGACGTAGTGTAGACCTATTATTAGAATGAATCAAACTATATACATGTAAAGAAAAACACAGCTATCAATTTACCAGTAGACACTAGTGAATACTCAATTGGGGTCACTGGTTTTTCGCATTTTCTTAGAGTGCCGTTAAAAATTTTGCGGCACAATTAGAAAGATCTCTCGGCACACTGGTTGAGAATCACTGCGCTATGATATCTGCGCGAGTGGTGAACTGTGCACCATTACTTACCTGGAATGTGATCTAGAAGCAGTGGCAACAGCAGCAGTTTCACTAACTCTAACAACGGATCCACCAACAACACGAACTACGTCTGTTACATCTAAACTAGTTGTAGATGTTGATCGCTGTTTATCCAATCCTTCCGGTAATGGAGGACCTGGAATATAATATATTGTTTTAATTAGTTCAATGAATATTATATACATCAGAGGATACAAAGGAGGAGAAATATATTTAAATTTTACGTCACAAAATCCTAAAAGTGAAATGAAATGGAGATTAGTGTTTCTTTTATGTGCACCAACCAGTTAGAGGGAGAGAAATGGAGTTTAACATCCACTCGACACAAACTAAGTCATTTCGGGATTAACATATGGTTCAATATTATTTTATTAATTCGCTTGCGCATAGCGGCCTTTAGCAGTGGGAGGAAACTAAAGAACCCAGAGAAAACCCACAAGGTTGGACAAGCGGGGAATCGAAAACACGCCACTTGACTCAATGACAGACCTTATGATGAAACACTCCACAAGTTAAACCATTCAGCCACCCAACCCTCCGTGCACAAACCAGACTGAAGTGTTGAAATCTGTACGCCATGTAGTGTGCTTAATTTAAATTTCCAAATGAAAATGAAATGGAATGGGGTTCAATGTCGTACTGTTCTGCTCCAACTGGGCTAATGAAGACAGGCATACGCCATACAGTGTGCTAGGAGGGAAATTTTGCCCGGGCAGCGGCGCTACGGCCTACTCTTATATCGAATTTCAACTGCCAAGGGATCTTTTACGTGCACGCCAATGTGTACATGGGACCTCGATTTTTTGTATCATCCGAACAACTAGTCAGCTGTCCTTGTCAGGAATTTTAACTTACACGGAGGTTGTAAATAACCATGGAATAGAACATCGCCACACGAAGCGTCGTCTAAATCTTCACATAAAACCAGACGCCGAACTGAAAAATAGAAAAATGATTATAATTAAAGAGAGAGAGAGAAAATGGGGTTTAACGTTCATTTGACACAAACCAGGCCATTTTGGGACTAACATATGGTTTTTAATTTTACTTCAATAATTTGCTTGCGCGTAAGGGGGAGGAAACCTGGAGGACCCGGAAACAACCCACGAGGTTGGACAGGCAACCCTATTCCTTGTTACGTACAACCGGGGAATCGAAACCCCGCCAGTTGACCCATGACAGCGCCGCGTGCTAACCATTCAGCCATCCACCCAACCCCCACATGCCAGTTGACTGAATGACAAGCCTTATGATACAGCGTGCACATGCTAACCATTCGGCCATCTAACCCCCCTTATAATTAAAGATGGATTTTTAGGGAGCTAAATCTGTATATTGCAGGTTTTTTTTAGGCTTGTTTGTTTTAGTTCGTTTCTGGAGTTTAACATTCACTTCTACCAGGGGTGATATCGTAGACAAGAAATTTTTGTTTATTTTTAGGCTTCAAATGTTATATCATTTATATTTAACATGACAAGCCTATAATCAACTCTCTCTAGACCATCAGATGGCATGTAATTATATAACGTACATTCCATTCCGTGTATTTTCCTGGGAAAGTTGTCGGTAATCTAAATTAAACATTCATTTTTATCTACTTGCATATATCTTCTTTGAGAGGCATTTAGCAATTGACATACGTAATAAACACAAAAACATAATATGGAACACAATTACTATTTTAATTTAAGCGACGTTTCGTTGAAAATAATATACAAACCTTCTGTATATTCTAATCATCATTATTTGTTTGATAACTTTGACAGAACCTTCAACGAAATGTCCCTTAAATTAAAATAGTAATTGTGTTCCATATTATGTTTTTGTGTTTATTACTTGCATATAGTAACGAGGGGGAGCCATCACAGATTTCCCTCATAAAGATATTAGTTTAGTTCTTAGGCAAACCTTTCAGGTTCAAGTGAGAGAGAGATTGTGAGTTAGTTGTATTTTACGTCCGCTTCCACTGAGGTGATATCACAGACAAGTATGAGAGAGTGTGTCTTTTCCCTTTATATAATCGTTGAAGTTCCACTGGAGTCAATGCTTCCGTAATGCATGAACAGAAAGTTGGATAAAGAATTGTCGTTATAAAACTTTCACGCCGATAAGATTAAGTCCCTACCCTTTTCTATTCATTTGTTCATCAAAAAAAAAAATCAAAATGATCACAATGTAAAGAATCAACAATAAAGTTACCTAGTGGAGTAATACCATAAAATTCTGCCTCGTGTCGTAAAGGAGATAAATTTAAATTTCTGAAAAAAACAAGAGTGTATACATCTTTACACTGGTTGAGAAAAGCAACCTAGTATTTTATAGTTTATAAATTATTTATTTTCACCAAGAAATAGTAAACAATATTTTAAAATATGTTATATAATTTCTGACTTCAGAGTAGATGTATACCTATATGAAATTCTGACATATTCTTTCTTGAGCGAAATTAACACAGAATTCAGTTTTAAATAGATATTTTAAAATAATATCCGACTATATGAGACGTGGAAGACATTTTTGCCTATTAGAATTTTAAGTACAATTCAAGTTTAAAAGTTGTTTTTAAATAATTTCTGATTCACAGCATAACAGATTTGGGAGATGTTTTTCTTGTCAAAATTTCAACTAGAATTCTGCTATAAATTGTATTGTTTTTTGTTATTCAGAGTATAAGATTTGGGTCATGTATTTTTGTAATAAACTGAACTCTAGAATTTGGTTTTAAATCATTTTTTTAAAATAATTTCTGACTTCAGAGTTAAAAGAAAATGAATACTTACTTTAATTCTACTTCTTTAGTTCTAAGAAAGTTTAAAATAACAGCAAATAATTTGGGATCTCTGTCAATAAATATCTAAAATAGAAACAAGTTTTGTTTAATTTCATCTTTACCCTTTAATACATAGACAAACTGACAATACGGCTCCGTCTAGCAAAAACATAATCACCTTGTAGATTCATTAAATCACTAATTTCCGTCTTAGTCCAGACTTTTTTCTGTATGCAAATGAGGTTCATCAAAGATTCCTTATAAGGTATATGTAAAGGCAATTTGCTTAAAATTTCAGTCAAACTGATCCACTATGAACCGAGAATTAAGCGATTGAAATTTCGGCCTAGCCTCGATCCTCATTACTAAAGTCTGTACGATAAAAAACATATAGTCTCGATCATCCATTTCATGATTAAATTATGAAGTCGAGCAGCAAATGGGATCCTAATCCAGTAAATATCGCGCGATAGCGATGCCATCGAGAGTTGGTTATGGTTTGGATAAGTTAATTAATGTCTAATTAATAGTTTATATGAGATGTTTAATCAATGTCTTAATTCTTGGTTCCTAGTAGATCAATTTGACTGAGATTTCCAGCAAATTGCCTTTACATTATCTAGATTTTAACTATTATAATGAGAACTGCCAGCTCTTTATCTTATCTCCCATAGTGTATGTTTAATATGCATGTGAGATCAATGATATAATACTTACTGCACCGGTCTCATCTCGTAGAGACGAAATTCTTCCACTCAGCATACTATAAAAAAAAGAAATATCTCGCCTTAACATTAATATGCCAGACCAATTAAACTCATAGCTTTTCTAGGTCTGGTCAATGATCTTTTATTTTATTAAATTGCTCGGAAGGAAGTCAAATTTCTGTTAAACATCTCCCCCCCCCCCCCAAATAAATAGTAGACTCGATTTTTTAATTAACAGCGTTGACTGAATGTACGGTTGTAGACTTTGTTTCTTACCTTTCTATATAATATCTACTGGCAGAGAATCGGTTTCAGATGAGTTATTGCTAACAAACTTGAACGTAATAGACTTTGTGATAATACTTGCCCTCAGTTTAAATATTTATTTATTTTGTCGATCATACTTTAATTGGAGGAGCTGGCGGAGCTTTAGGGGTTTTAAAGGTGTCGCCCCAACAAGAATAATATTACTTATATATACAACCAGTTACTGTTTCAAATATCCTGATGTATGAATATTTTGTATCCTATATTACAGGGATATATTTTATTCTATTTGAGCCAATAAATATTGAGTAAAAAAGGTACAGAGTAAGGAAGAAAAGGTAAATAACATAAAATAAATAAAATTTGTCTTTTTTAGTCTTCCAAATAAATCTCTTCATCCTTCGGCTAACAGCGGTTACTATTTTCTCACTTCGAGCACCCTCTTTGGACACCACCTAAGAAAAGTTTTGATCATAGGGCCAGGGATGAGAGGAAAATCAGTATGGATAGAAAAAAAGGTACATTGTGGAAGAATATACACCCCTTGTATTTTATATACATGAAATCTTAATCAAATATACTCTAATTATTTTATTTAATTTTACATGTTAAATTAAATGTACCTTGTAAAAAATGAATCTGGTATCCATGTTAGAGTTTGTCTTGACGTGGAGAATCTGGAAAGATAGAAAGGTAAACAAACAAAAGTTTAAATGGTTGGGTCAAATTGTACAACTTTTCTGCCCCAACTGGGCTAATTAAAAGAGTGAGAGAGAAATGGGGTTTAACGTCCACTTGACACAAACTATGACATTTCGGGACTAACATATGGTTAAATTTTATTTCAATAATTCACTAGCCCGTAGGGGTCTTTAGCAGTGGAAGGAAACCGGTGAAAACCCTTGATGTTTGACAGGCCACCCTTCTCCTTGTCACGTACAAGCTGGGATTCAAAACCACGTCACTTGACTCAATGACAAACCTTATGATCAGACTCGCATGTGTTAATCATTCGGACACCCGACCCCAAGTGCTAATTAATTGTGAACTCCTCTTCATCAAATTCCAACAATGTGTAAAAGGGACATTGATTTTTCCCTTCATATGAAAGATTAGACGTTGTTCCCCGCCACCAGGCCCTATGACCTGCATCAGTAACAAGTGGGAACCATGCTGGGAAATCCCAAAGGACTTTTCCTGCCAACAGAAGAATCGAACATGCACATTCTGGTTTGTGAGCCAGCGCGTTACTTAATGAACCACTGTTATTAAGAGATCCCACGAATGGTTTTCAACAATCATCATATATTAAGATTCATGAGATTTTTACTTTAAGAGCAAGATTAATTCCATTTCAATTAACAGTTTATTATATTTATGACACTGCAGTGCTTAGCTGAACAGAAGTTCTGCACCTTAAAGATACAATAGGCAGATGTAGCTCTTGCATAATTTATGTTTAAGTGTCTTTACATGTATGTTTGCAGTCTGTATTCCCCTTTTCATTGGTGCAGGGCAAACGGCTCTCCAAGGAAAAGTGTCTAGTCTATCGAACAGAACAAAAAACAAGGTCATGTCACTCATGTAGATGGCAGCAAAGTAAAGATCAGCTGACAGTTGGAAAATGAAATAAGCATATTCCACAGAGAGCTCTTCGGATAAATTGTCACTCCTAGCAAACTGCATGGCTTAGCCCCATCTACATTAGCTTAATATTAAATGACATGAAATGAAATGGGGTTTAACGTCCTACTGTTCTGCTCCTAAATCGGGCTAATGAAGACGGGCATACGCCATACAGTGTGATATGGAGGAAATTTTGCCCGGACAGCTGCACTACGACCTACTCTTATATCGAATTCCAACTGTCAAGGGATCTTTTACGTGCACGCCAATGTGTACACTGGACCTCGATTTTCCATCACATCCTTACCACAAGACAGCTGTCTTTGTCAGGTCCTCTGTCCTACATCAATGACAAGGGAGAACCACACCGGAAAATCTGGATGAACTTTCTCGGTCAATGCTGGGATCGAAACACCCAACCGCCGGGTTGGCGAGCCAGCGTCTTACCCACTTAGCCACCGTGATCCCCTCGTATTGAATGCATAGTGATCATGGGTAGTGATGGGTATTGCCACTGCAGTCACGATATGATAATATTGATATGTCAATGAAGCGCGCAAAAAAACACGAATCGAGAGAGGACAAATTGCGATGCATCGATGAGAGTTCAGATAATCGTACAGATCAATGCTTAAAAAAAAATGTTTCATAATCATAATGAGTAATTTATTACAGAACATTGTCACTGTCAGAACAGTGCCTTTCACATTTAATTTATATTAATTATGACAAAAATGATGGCGATTGTAATAATTTCTTCAACAATAAATAATAATAATAATATTAAATATTTTCAATAATTTTCTTGCAGCCAAACCATGCAAAACAAAATTCATAAAAAAACAGATTGGCCATCTTTAGTCCCTAGAAAATATAGAAGAGAAAGTTTTTATCTGAGAAAATGAACGTGACATTATTGGGTTTACCTTGTTCCTCCAACATTTAAGTGGATAATTTCTCCTGCCATGATGATGGGCCTCACTTAGGCCTAATCTTTTAGATCAAGGTGGTCATTGCTATTTTATAAGCTTTTAACACCTGCAAACGGTGGCTTTTTGATCTATATTTATCGACATAAACCGATCCGTTCCTTTTTATTCAATCTTCACAATCTTCTATTTTTAGCTTCTTTACGGGTTCACCTGTTGAAGTCAACATTATCCAGTCTCCCGAAAATTGTAAAGGATTTTACCGTTACAATCAAGTCTGGCTACTCGAAAATAAAATGAGATATTAAAGGTCAAGGTCGTAAAACAGAAAGATAACTCTAAAGGCACTTTGATTATGTCGAGACGATCAATAATATTCTCATTTCGATCGACTGCTATATGATCCACACAGATTACCAATTATAATTTATTCACCTAAAATCTCCAGCACTATTATGAGTAACGTTATAACCTTGCATTTACCATGACGCATTACATGAAGTCGTCCAAAAAGACTTTCTCTCGGAATATTAACGATTATATTATTCGCCCTCTGCTCAGACAGCGAGAAACTGGAGAATTATGTGACGTTTGTATTAAATTAAATGGACAATCATTCCAAGCTCACAAAGCCATTTTAGCACTATGGAGTCCTTACTTTCTTTCTATGTTTACCTGTGATATGAGAGAAAAGTTATCAGGAGATGTCGATCTTAGTGAGTCGATGATTTTGGACAACGATTCTGTTTTTTCGGTGGTTCTTGATTATATGTACACAGGCTCAATCAATATATCAACAAGTAATATCGAAGATGTTGTCAGAATCTCTGATTTTCTTTTGTTAGATGATATTAAAGAATACTGCAAGCAATTCTTTCTCGAACTCGGAAACCTCGATCTGACCAACTGTCTACGCGTTCGATTTCTAGCCGAGGATTTTAATTTAAAGGAAGTTGGTGAATGTGCTCAAAAAATTATAGAATCAAGATTCCACGATTATTTCTTATACCACGATGAAATTCTCGAGATTCAGGTCAATTCGATATTTAAACTTTTAGATGATGCCCGTGTAGTCCAACATGTGAGTTATAATGAATTAAAACGTCTTGTACAAGCGTGGGTTGATTATGATAGATCATCGAGACAAGGCTACCAAAGTGATCTGATATCTCTGATACGTTCCTGGGTGTCGGATTACTCAAACGATACAGCTCACATGGGACGTGAACTTTCACGAGGGGAAATTATGCGTAGATCGCTGGAAGATCATCAGTTTGGAAGCGGACATCTTACAGATAGACGGAAACGCTGTTTATCCGAAAGCGGGATGTGTCAATCAATGGTAGAAAAGTTAAGTCCATCAGAAGTATGCAGTCCAGTTTTATTCACCGCTGTTTGCAATCAAGGATTAAAATTCGTGAAAATTTTGGTGTATAACTTAGTCGATCATAAATGGTATCATTATTCACTGCCAGGAGAAAAAATTCTCCATTCCATTCCAATGAGACAAACCGTATGTAATATGGTGTGTGAAAACAACAAGCTTTATCTTTACTTATGTTCCAGTTTCCCGTATCCCACGGACATGATGAAAATTAATATTCTAGTCGTAGACTTGATAACAGGGCAACCAACACTGTTCTCGTTTCGAACCGTTGATTTCTATAATCCTTGTTATCGAACGACGCTGACAAATTACCGAACAGCGCCACCTGTAATGGTTCACTGTAATAATCATTTGTATGTTATCGGGAATAAAGAGGGCACTGGTCATTTATTCCTCTGTAATCTCACAAGCCATCAATATACATGCTTCCAAATACCAGGGTCAAGATTCATCAGCTTGGCTCGCGCTGCAGTCAAGGAGAACCGACACGTCTATATATGGTATCGTCACAGAACAGGACCATCTGAAGAATTTTGTATTAAGAAGGGTGTCGGCTTTGCCATCTTTGACACTAAAACTAAGATCTTTAATGCATGGGAGATCTCCGCCCCAGAAATCAGTTATGACGATTTTGTGAAACCGTTTGTGATGTGTATCCGTGACGACACAGTGTTCATCCATCACCCAGGCACTCCTGCCCTTGTTCTGGACGAAATCCGGAGTCGTTGGGTGACGGCTCTGCGTAAAACTGCTGCTATCCCAGGTTGTGAGACTTCAGGTGCTCAGGCTTACGGATATCAGCTTCTCGTACCTACGTCCGATAGTATCTTCGTTTTAAATAATGACTTACCGTACACCACAAAAATGAATGAAATTTCTGAAAGATACCCACAGGCATTGTCACATATACCTCCCCCTATTGACAATATCTCGGTGGTAACTCATGGCAACCTTCCGAAATCAACGTTGGCGGTGCTTGATCAGTGCGATCATTATGATGAAGCCTACGCCAGCGCCCTCCATGTAGCAATGCAATACTCTGACGGAGATACTAGTGATAGCGGTGGATCTCATTGTGAAGAACAAGACTCAGAGAATGATTTTGAATATGACGATGATATTTATGATTATGACTATGATTTAGATATAGGTTTTGAATTTTGACTTTAAGTCGTTTAATGGTAATTATGTGTATTTAGTCAAATGGTTATATGTACGGTAGCGTTCTTACTTTAAGTAAAGTCCTACTTTATTCAATTTCAATATCGGCAAATTCAAAGGCAAAATTGGAAGATAGAGGTGAGTGAAGATAGGGGAAAGGGATGTGGGTGGTAAGGGGAGGGGATGTGGAGATGGAGAAGGGAGAGGCAGTTAAGGGACGGGGTAGGGTAGGGAGGGGGAGAGAGAGCAGCATGGGGAAGGGTGAGAGACTGGAGCACAGAGAGAGAGAGAGAGAGAGAGAGAGAGGTGGAGATTGGGGGAGAGGAGAGAGTAGGAAGGGAGAGAGAGTGTGTGAAGGGGAGAGAGAGCAGCATGGGGAAGAGAGAGAGAGAAAGATAAGGGGTGGAGATTGTGGGAGAGGGAGTGAGAGAGGGTAGGGAGGGAGAGAGAGGGTAGGGAGAGAGAGTAGGGAAGGGAGAAGAGAGGGTAGGGAGGGAGAGAGAGAGGGTAGGGAGGGAGAGAGAGCCTGGGGAAGGGAGAGAAAGAGTGTGAAGGGGAGGGAAAGTGAAGGGGAGAGAGAGAGAGGGAGGTGAGGGTGCATATTGGGGAAGAGGAGAGAGAGGGAGTATAAGATAAGAGGAAGGAAAGAAAGAGTCGGCAGGCAACTATTCATTAAGAATCTCAATCATTAGATATATATTTTCTTATTATAACAAAAAAAGTCAATTTATATGTTTACCTGGTACAGTATTTAGCCTAACCACACTCCGATCTAGTATGTATAAGTCTTGTATAAATTCTTTTGTTGACCCTCTGTTAATCTCATTGACTATCACCTGGAAGATTATCTACCATTACATATTTTCATTTTATTGTCTTAAATTAAATGTCAAATAATTAATTTGAGGACATCTTACGAAAATATTGTCCGATAAATACAAATGGTGTTGTGAGGATTTAAAACAAATGATTTTGATTTGTAAAGAACTGGCAATGATGTGTTTAAACTGGGGAGTAAATGAATAGGGCTATTTATTGTGTAGGGCTATTTATTGTTTTAAAGTCACAATTTCATATTTTATAAGAAAGTCAAAACATAATTATTTCTACGTCTTTTGCTTAATAGGTTGTCAACTCACTATTATACGATCATAGGTGTCATTCTCACACTTAAAACTCATTTACACCGGAAATAATAACACAATTACCTCCCAATTACGTATACCTCCCGTGTTTTCTATTCTCCACCATGAAGTAGCTAACTTCAAACAATTGAAAATGAAGAGGAAAATGATATTTTTGCCAATTTCTCAGCTGGCAATAGTGAATTATAGGATTAATAGGATTATTCTTTAACAAGGTAGGACTGTTTATGGATACCATCTATTTTCAGGCTTTATTTTAATAAATTTTAAAAATATAACTTAAAAATTTGCAATTTCCGCTTAAAAGGGAAATGAAAGGGGTAAAGCAATATGAACCATTATTATGAATCAACACCTAACTTAGAGATTTTTATCTAATAACATATAAATTATTTATTCTGAGTTAATATGTTTGACCTTCATGTATAAATTATGCGCATATATGTATTTATAAGTCTGTTGTTATTTTGACAATAATTATGCTTTATCGGTGTTGTTGATTATGTGAGTTTCTACGTAGTTAAAACTACATGTAGCTTTACGTTTTGTTAATATATGTTGTTGTTATTAAGGATTTATCTTAACCAATTTATTCTAGTCTAGACAATTGACTTTAATTCATAATATTCAAATCAAAACAAAGCAAAGGTTTAATTTGAAATATTTTATTCCAAACAATTAAAGAGCCCTGTGGAAGAACGATCTAAGTCACTTTTTCAATGAAGCACTGTTGATAGCGCCATCTGGTAGCAAATTGTATAAGCTTTCTGTGGAACAATAAATTTCAGGTAAAAACCTTAATTTGCCTGAAAAGTTGAAGTATTAAACATCTTTTTGAAGTTGTAATTAAACCCACTCGTTGTTCTGTTTGCGTCAAACATTCTCGTCCAAAAGTCTCTTTTGCCTTTTATGTGAAAAGACAAAAATGTGACTTAGATCATTCTTCCCCTGGACTCTTCAATTGGCTTTACCAATATTTAAATTCAAAATATTCTAGTCAAAACATTTTAATTTTAAAATTTATTGTAATACTTTTAGTTTCATTTATATTACAAAAGGTAGAAAGATAGAGAAATGGGGTTAAATGTCCACGCGGCACAAACTAGTTCATTTCGTGACTAACATATCATTAAATTTTATTTCAATAACTTGCTTGTGTGTAGTGGTCTTTAGCAGTAGCGGGAAACCGGAGGACAGAGAAAACCAACAAAGTCGGACAGGCGACCCTACTCCTTGACATGGACAAGCGGAGAATCGAAACCACACCACTTGACTGTATGACAAACCTTATGATCTAAAGTGCACTCGTTAAACCATTCAGCCACCAAACCCCCTTAATTACATGTTCAAAAGATATTTGACTACTGTCAGAAATTCATTATAATCTTTGAATGGCGTTTAGCGATTGAACATTCTATAACACAACAAGGGGGGTTGGATGGCTGAATGGTTAGCATGTGCGCGCTGTACCATAAAATCTATCTTTGAGTCAACTAGCATGGTTTCGATTCCTCGGTTGTATGTGACAAGGATTAGGGTCGCCCGCCCAACCCTGTGGGTTTTCTCCAGGTCCTCCGGTTTCCTCCCACTGCTAAAGACCTCTACGTGCAAGTGAATTATGTAAATAAAATTAAACCATATGTTAGTCCCGAAATGACCTAGTTTGTGTTGAGTGGACGTTAAACTCCAGTTCTCTCTCTCTATAACACAACATCATGCTATGGATTACAATGACTATTATTATAAACTCATTTGTATGCTTGATAACGACCAGTGTGTATATATAATTAATTATTAATGGCTACAATCTGTTCTATCAGTTCATATTTAATGACCAGCTGTACAAGTTTATGGTTTTAATTAATTGGTGGTTTAGCTTGAAAGATCAATTTGCTTTCATTTCACACAATAAAACAGGAAAATAAAAATCTTCATTAGGTGATAATGAAGTTACTCGATTTAAACTATAACACATACTTATGGAAAAACACCTACTTATTTATTTTGGCGACATTTTAAAGAGTATTCTCTTAACGTTGTCAAGCTATCGAAACGTCGCCCAAATAAATAAGTATGTATGTGTTATAGTTTATTGCTCTATCCAGTTACTAAATGCTTCTCAAAGATTATTACTCAATTTAGTTAAATGAATTTCAAACATACTACCATATATAGTTAAATTGTAACTGAATGAAATTAACATATGAAACAAGTTACCGGGATGGGTCATGTGTTATTATATATCATTATTTGAATTTAAAACACAACTTATTCAACAGTCATATCGTTAACACCTTTCTTATGAGAATGAGTTTGAGACAATTATATGGAATAGAATTTACCGGTATGTGTCATATGTTATAAATATAGTTAATTGAACCTAAACATAACTTATTGAACAATCTATATGGTTAACGACTTTTTTATAACATTGTAATTAACACCGATTATCAACCATTTGGTTGAAATTCCAGCGCTATTGTATGACATTTATCATTACACAAATATTGTTACATATTGTATATTAATACCAGATGTTCATTATAGAAATCTGTTTTGTTTATTATCTTAAAATCTCTGTTCATTTACAAATTACAATATTGTGAAAAGTGAAGCTCTAAAAGGAATATCAGTCCAAAAATAATACTATTCCGATCAGTTTTGACAAAAAGAGAGAGAGAGAGAGAACTGGAGTTTAACGTCCACTCGACACAAACTAGGTTATTTCAGGACTAACATATGGTTCGATTCTTTTATTTCAATAATTCCCTTGCACATAGGGGTCTTTAGCAGTGGGAGGAAACCAGAGGACCCAGAAAAAACCCACGAGGTTGGACAAGCGACCCTACTCCTTGTCACCGTACAACCACGCCAGTTGACTCAATGACAGGCCTTATGCTAACCCTGTCATTGTCATTCTGTTTCAAAACCTGGAACATCAATCCACAGCACGATGATCGCCATTTCAATTAATGTGACTCTGATTATCAGCTATGGAAATTCATTGTCCGAATACTTTCATTGACCTCTTTTTCCTCGAAGACCCCATTGACTTCGCAAACCCCCAAAATCTTTTCGTAGGTGGATCCTGGTTGGGAAACATTGATCTAAATGAACGTTTAAATAACAAGTTCAACCATACCAGTATAATTAACGGGCTTGCTATTACACAAAATATACCAAATCAATAGGATATAACGATGTTTTAAGTCATCTCCCTTTATTTTTAATTTTTAACAATTTTATGATATGTTTATTCAGACTGTGATTTATTATTTATTTAAGATTTGTGTGTTGTAATTTACTCTTCCCTTTTCAAGTGTTTTTTATAAATAAAACTAGTCGTGTATTTTATAAATATCTGTTTATTTCATATATGGCAATGAAATGAGAGAGAGAGAGAGCTGGGGACTTGACACAAACTGAGTCATTTCGGGACTAACATATAGTTCAATTTTATTTCAATAATTCGCTTGCGCGTAGGTGGTCTTTAGCAGTGGGAGGAAATCAGAAGATCCGGAGAAAACCCACGACAGGCGATCCTACTCCTTGTCACGTTCACCCGAGGAATCGAAACCATGCCAGTTGACTCAATGACAGACCTTATGATACAACGCACGCGCTAACCATTCGGCCATCTACCCCCCCCCCTCAATGCAGTAGACTGCTACAGCAAACTCGATGCAGTATTGGTAAGGTCAGTGCAGCAAAACACAAGATTCTGTAGTTCATTGAAAGACACCGGTACTTGTCAATCTAGTCTATAAATATCAATGTCTATGACATCTTCAGGTGTCTATAACATCTTCAACTGTATCTTGTAAATGTTTAAACCATGGATGAAGATGACTTGACTGAAACATAAAATATTACATGTTATTGTTCATAACATGCATAATAGGCTATAAGCCAAACAAGACTAACTATTCTGACCTTATGGTCAGAAGCAGTAAATGATGCTGTATGGTAGGACTACATTCAGTGAATGATGCTGTATGGTAGGACTACATTCAGTAAATAATGCTGTATGGTAGGACTACATTCAGTAAATAATGCTGTATGGTAGGACTACATTCAGTAAATGATGCTGTATGGTAGGACTACAGTCAGTAAATGATGCTGTATGGTGGGACTACAGTCAGTAAATGATGCTGTATGATAGGACTACAGTCAGTAAATGATGCTGTATGGTAGGACTACATTCAGTAAATGATGCTGTATGGTAGGACTACAGTCAGTAAATGATGCTGTATGATAGGACTACAGTCAGTAAATGATGCTGTATGATAGGACTAGTCAGTAAATGATGCTGTGTGATAGGACTACAAACAGTAAATGATGCTGTATAGTAGGACTACAGTCAGTAAATGATGCTGTATAGTAGGGCTACAATCAGTAAATGATGCTGTATGATACGGTGGACAGTCCATATGCTGATTACACTATTTTGCCTTATTACACTATTTTGCCTATACCGTTTTTTTTTAGGACTTCGAATTTTGTCTAGTGGTTTGGATTGTTCGTACTTGTTTTATTTTATTTATAGGACTACAGTCAGTAAATGATGCTGTATAGTAGGACTAAAGTCAGTAAATGATGAATGACTCACCTTAAATAATGACTGGATGGAATATTTCAGATGTTTTATGGTTTCTTCAGTTCCTGTAGGAGAGTTTAGCATTTGTTGACCTATAATGTCACTCAACAGAATGAGACCTGTCAGTGACGACATGACACTCGTAACACTAGTTGAGGATATAACACAGCTGTCTGAAAAAGAAAACATATTTAAAAATCCTAACCGCAGAAAATTGCTGGAAAATAACTCTCAAACTCTGCTCTACTACCAAATAGTTTTAACTTATTTAATCCATGCCCAGGCAATGCTCAAATTAATCCATGCCCAGGCAATGACAGTTCTCGGTATAATAGTTAAAAAATAGATAATGAAAACAGAATATGCTGAAAATTTCAGTCAAATTGCTCCACTCTGAACCGAGATATTAGCGATTCAATTTTAGGCTAGCCTCGATCGTCATTACTACTATGGTATGATAATAAACAAAGTCTTGATTATCCATTTTTACGTTAAATCATCCATCACAAAACGTATTCAAATCCACTAAGCATCGCAGGCTAACGATGGCATTGAGCGTTGATTATGGTCTTTATAAGTTAATTAATGTCTAATTAATAATTCAGATAACATATCAAGCTCTTGCATAATGCATGTTTAAGTTATATTCCTCAGGTCAACATGTACCATATATAATACTCCATATATTTTTATTCTTCATGTGTGTGTGTGAAATAGCTTTATTTAAAATACAGATGTGACGTCATCCTTTGATGTTGGCGTACCATTATTTCCAATAATGTACAGACAACTTGCCAATCATACATTATCTATACTAGATGAAATATTGGACTCGTATGACATATTTCATTGAAAAGCATGTGCAGGATAGTGTCTGTATTTTAAGTTGTTTAATGGTCTCGAGCTAAAAACATTGCCTTGTGCAGTATCAATATATTACGTAATGTCTCGCTCTCAACCATTGAACCATACTTAACGTGCGCTTCCACCAAGGTGATATTGTGACCTATACATACCTTTTATACTATTGAGTAAGTCAGGAAGATTTTCTGTGATTTCTTTGTTGATATTATTTATATCGTCTACAGTAAATTTAACACACCCCTTCTCACTTTCATACTTTCTCTTTCCCATCATCTAAAAAAAACAAAATCAAACATTAAACATACATTATTATAGAGCTAAATCTGCCATTTGCAGGTCTTTCTTTCGGCCTGAAATGTTACATTTACTGGATTATGATCCCATTTGCTGCTCGACCTCCATTCATAATTTAGTCATAAAATGGATGATCGAGACTATGTTTTTTATCTTACAGACTTTAGTAATGATGATAGAGGCTAGGCAGAAATTTCACGGTTCATAGTGGATCAATTTGACCGAGATTTTCAGCAAATTGCCTTTACATTATCTACTTTTTAACTATTATAATGAGAACTGCCAGCTCTTTATCTTATCTCCCATAATGTATCTTTAATTTGGAATAATTATAATTTTTAATGATAGTATCATCACTTCAATTTTTGACTTATCTTGATCACATAATGTATTTATTGTGTCTTAATGTTAAATTCTTTGAAATTCTAATTTTACGGTATGTATATTCTCTGTGACATAAGGTCTCCAAACCAGTCAATTTTACAGTCAGTCAAAACATAACGAGAAATGTGTAGATATATTTATCATCTGACAGACACGTATTACCCAACCTGATTCAAACACAGATCCTATTTCAGTTCGTTTTTTATAGTTCAAAATTTCCTTTTACTTGTCTTCACTACACTAGGATCTGGAAGAGTTGTTATAATTACCAGCATTTTGGTTGAAGTGAGGGATAAGCCAATGAAACAGTCTGTTACAGCGACCTCTTGGCGTGTCATGCACGGAATTGTGGGTAAACCATTAGAAACGTCAACGCTGATTGATTAATCAATATCTGACTTCATAGCGTCAAAAGCCGCTTGTACGAACCTTGACGCGACCTTCCAGTACAACCGGTCAGATCTTCATGTAGGGTAGACCATCGAAAGTATAAAAAATGAAACGAGATATAAATGTTTATTTTAATCAGATTGACCTATTTCCAGCAGACGTACTTCAGTTCGAAGGGGACTAACTTTATATCTAAAATGAGCTACAAACCTCTAAAGTTTTATGATAATCAAGGCATCGTAAAATTCTTTCAGCAAAAATAGAATCTTCATCATGTTCGAATAAAACTTGATTGCGTTGATCTTGTGTGGAAAGAAGAGATTTACGTAACAAACCATATTGATACAGTTTCTTGGTCAGATATTTATACACAGCTTCCGACCAATAGAAATTATCACAGATATATTCTAATAATAGCTACAAAAGATATACAAGAAATATATAATTCAATTGTTTTGATGACTACATTTTCTAGACATTTTTTTTGGGAATTAAAAAAAATTAAAAAAAGAGAGAGAGAGAGAGAGAGAGATGGGGTTTTATATCCACGGACACAAACTAGGTCATTTTGGGACTAACACATGGTTTAATTTTATTTCAATAATTCATTTGCGTGTAGGGGTCTTTAGCAATGGGAGGAAACCGGAGGACCCAGAGAAAACCCACGAGGTTGGACAAGCGACCCTACTCCTTGTCATGTACAACTGGGGAATCGAGACCACGCCAGTTGACTCAATGACAGACCATATGATACAGCGTGAACTTACTAACCATACGGACATCCAAACCCCCGAAAATTCTTTGGGTAAATTGTAGACATGTTACATGTTTTAAAGGACACTATTAATGTCAGAACTATTTGATCTGTAAAAAAACAGCTGATCTTGTGACAGTCTATTTTTTCTTATGAATAATTGGTTTTGAAATGATTTCCTCTCAAAGTCTCATGTAACAGGAATTATCAGTTTCTTATGAATAATTGGTTTTGAACTGATTTCCTCTCAAAGTCTCATATAACAATTCTTTCAATATCACAGGAATTATCAGTCAGCCTAAAATCGTCAAACACGTTGCAATTACATCTGGCTTGTATGTAATTCTTCCCCTCAACATGACCAGAAACTTTTGTTTTATCTTATCACGTAAGTAAATGAAGTGAAATGATGTTAAATATCCTACTGACCAGTACCAACTGGGCAATTGAAGATCCCAGATAAGGACCTCTGTTTTTTATACCATGCGAAACACTATACATTTTTTTCTAGACATGTTTCTTTTAGACATTTCAGTATCGAAAAAAGTTTGTGTAAAATTAAAATTATAAATTTACGAACCTGTATACAATAATTACTATTTATATGATGGCCCTGTAACAAAAATTATTGATCTTATTGAAGAAGGAGGTGTAAACATGGTCACCATGGTGTAAATAAATATGAGAGAGAGAGAGAGAGAGAGAGAGAGATGGTTTTAAGGTCAACTTGACAAAAACTAGGTCATTTCGGGACTAACATATGGTTCAATTATATTTCAATATTTTGCTTACGCATAGGGGTCTTTAGCAGTGGGAGGAAACCGGAGGACCCGGAGAAAACCCACGAGGTTGAACAGGCGACCCTACTCCTTGCCACGTACAACCGGGGAATCTTAACCATGTCAGCTAACTCAATGACAGTCCTTATGATACTGTCCAACCTCGTGGGTTTTCTCCGGGTCCTCTGGTTTCCTCCCACTGCTAAAGACCCCTACGTGCAAGCGAATTATAGAAATAAAATTAAACCAGATGTTAGTCCCGAAATGACCTAGTTTGTGTTGAGTGGATGTTAAACCCCATTTCTCTCTATATATAACACAACATAATGCTATAGATTACAATCACTATATTATAAACTCATTTGTATGCTTGATAATGACCAGTGTTAGCACACGCTAACCATTCAGCGTGTGTAGGACGTAATATAACGCCCTTGAGGTATTTTCCCCAACCTATTCTTCGAACATACGATCGTAGCATGTGTAGGACGTTATATTACGTCTGGTCGAGGAAATCTAATTGAAGGGAGACAACTCTATTTACCGTTAGTTTTAATATGGTTTAAGACTACTATCATTTGTATTCAGGAATAAAAAGGTCCAAAAATGACGTTTTTCGTCAAATTAATTACACAATAGGGGGTAGTTAACGTTTTAAAAACTACACAGTTAACGGGTTAAACAGCCCTTTAATAATAATCAGCCACTTGAAGGAATAATCTGAAATATTTTTTCTACCTTAGTTTTTTGTGAACAAATTTGAGATATAAATGAAGTGGCCATTTTTCTGACATCAACATCTTCTTCATCAATCAACTGTAAACATGCCTCCAATAAACTACAATTCAATTTTAAAACTTCATCTAAAATCTACAACTATTAACCTGAAACGTGCATTTTCCTACGTAAAATGCCAGATACGATGAAACAATCAAAACCCTGGGCCCTTATTCACGAAAACTTAACTGAGATAGTAATTTGATTGGATAATATTAGATTGATTTTAGTGCTTAGCCAATCAAAATTGAGGAATCTACTAAAATTTGGATTTTATCTTAAGTTAAAATTTCGTGAATCAGGGCCCTGATCTGTAAATAATCATTGAATATTGTCATAATATGTATATTGTTACTCATGGTATGAGTTACTCGGGTAGTATTATTACTCATACTATAATGAGTTACTAGGGTGGTAATTAATCTGTTTAACATGTGACCTCAGGTCCACTTATCTTGTATATCTCACGCTTTGGGTAGACCAGCTTCCACCAACATCTGATTGTAAGACTTGTATGATTCATTAATAAATATTGATGAGTATACCATGTATGAGAGAGAGAGAGAGAGAGAAGTGGGGTTTAACGTCCACTCGACACAAACTAGGTCATTTCGGGACTAACATATGGTTTAATTTTATTTTAATAATTCGCTTACGCGTAGGGGTCTTTAGCAGTGGGAGGAAACCGGAGGACCCGAGAAAACCCACGAGGTTGGACAGGCGACCCTACTCCTTGTCATTTACAACCGGGGATTCGAAACCACGCTCAATGACAAACTTTATGATACAGCGCGCGACGCTAACCATTCAGCCATCCAACCCCACTTTACCAAGTATGAAGACGCATAACAAATATAACAACCAACACGCTAAATAAATAATCTTTAAAAATATAAGAATAAAGTTTAGAATCAAAGTAACTCTTTCACTACGTAGGACACTACCATTACACCAAATACAAATTTTATAGAATAGCTTAGATCTGATATTCCTATTACATATTCAACCTTCACAATATTTTATTTTCCAAAGAATGCAAAGGCCCTCATATAACGATCCACAGTTTTAAATCCAAATTTCAAATTTCATCCCGAATAGCTATTGATCTCCAAGACTCTTTCTTTTTAATTTGATGATCATCTCAACTTACCTTACAACACAATTATCGTAGGATTTTTCTTTCTTTGCTGCGGCCATATTTAATATCACATCACCAGCCAATAATAAACATTTAGTAGCAGCCAATCGTATATCTTCATTTTCATCACGATTACTTGAATTTTCTACATGACGACACCAATCACAGATCTCCTTACTACAAACAGAAAATAACAGATAAAAATGAATTTTTCAAAAATAAAATCAAGGGTCTTAGTTTAAAGGAGCTAAATAGCTAATATTTGGGACCTAGAAATTGACACAAATGGGTCGCATCGCATATAATAATGTAATATGAATGTATATAAACTAATTTACATTCAATCGTTTCCGTTTATACTGTAATTTGTAATCTGGTTATTCCAGTCTACACCGATAATATTAATTACGCATGCTCTCCAGATACGAATATGAGGTCACCGTTTGACATGACTTATGGAATATGTCCAGCCTCGTTCTTAAGAGTCGCGTGTTACAAATGACAGTGTTTATTTTGTCTTAAATATTTGATATCAGAAGCACATCTTTTCCTGGGTAAGATCACAACATCAATGTTGATTTAAATTGATAACTAATTTGTGTTTTCAATGTCGAAGATTTTGGATGATATTGAGTTAGAGACTTAGCTACTTTAACAGAATTTAAAACATAACTTTTTCGACATTCATTTATAACTTTCTTGCGATATTTGCTAGGGACTGGGACCAAAAAATTAAGATAGTGTGTACACATTGATGTGCACGTAAACTATCCCTTTGCAGTTGGAATTAAATATATGAGTAGGCCGTACCACCGTTGTACAGGCAAAAGTTCCCTCCCTGTATGGCGTATACTCATCTACAATAGCCGAGTCAGAACAATAGGATGTAATACTCCATTTCATCATTTGTGATATTGCAATTTGTGCTAATCTGCAACCACGTGGATAGAATTCCAGCGCCTTTATAAAACGATGATAATGATAATGAAGACCAACGAGTGTGCACTGTATCATAAGATCTGTCATTGAGTCATGTGGTGTGGTTTCGATTCCCCGCTTGTTCGTGACAAAGACTAGGGTTCCCTGTCCAACCTCGTGGGTTTTCTCTGGGTTCTTCGGTTTCTTCCCATATTTTAGTCTTGAAATGACCTAGTTTGTATCTGGTGGACGTTAAACCCCATTCGTCTCTCATTTATGAGCAACCGGAAGAAGATGACAATGATAATTATGAATATGTGTTGTTTAATGGTTGAATACGGACATTAAGTAATATATTGATATATCTATATATACTATGCAATGTCTCGCACAAGACCATTATACTACTTTAAATACAGTCACATGGATTTCAATGAAACACGTCATGGGATTAATATTTCAGCTAGTATAAATAATGTACACTTGGCACATTGCCTGTACCATTATTTACGCCAACATCAAAGGATAACGTCACACCTGTATTTTAATATTTACTATTCCATGGCCTTTAGAAGTTGGTTGTATTAAAAATTTAAACTTCTATACATACCTGTTTATTGTTTCAGGTGATGTATTTAATAAACAAGATATTAGTCTACCTTCTACAGGTAACAGATGATGTAATAAACTTCTATCATGGTTATATAAAGATCTTAGAACCGTAACATCAATACCAACACATGATTTATTCTTCAATCCGATATCACAGAGTAAAATTAGAATCATCTTCATGTTCAGATGATTTGTTTCTTTACTGAGTAGTTTCCACAAACATGTCTGAAAATCGGAAAACACATTAATTTCTTTAACCATTTATTATCATTTGGACCCCTACTGCTTCCGCTGGCACATCAAATCCCATGGAACAACTGAATATACCAACAAGGTAAAAGAAATGGACCTCTTATTTAGTCAGCCAGTGCTTTATTCAAAGAGAGAGAGAGAGAGAAATGGGGTTTAACGTCCACTCAACACAAACTAGGTCACTTCGGGACTAACACATGGTTTAATTTTATTTCAATAATTCGCTTGCGCGTAGGGGTCTTTAGCAGTGGGAGGAAACCGGAGGACCCGGAGAAAACCCACGAGGTTGGACAGGCGACCCTACTCCTTGCCACGTACAACCGGGGATTCGAAACCACGCCAGTTGACTCAATGACAGACTTTATGGTACAGCGAGCACGTGCTAACCATTCAGCCACCCAACCCCCCTTTATTCAAAGAACCATTGTGGTCCTAAATTAGAGAATGCAATATCACAGTTGAAATGAAATGGGCTTTAATGTCCTACTGTTCTGCTCCAACTGGGCTAATGAAGACGTGCATACGTCATACAGTGTGCTATGTGAAAAATATTGCCCGGACAGCAGGACTATGGCCTACTCTTATATCGAATTTCAACCGCCAAGAGATGTATTACGTGCACGCCAATGTGTACACGGGACCTTGGTTTTTTGTCCCATACGAACAACTATACACTGTCAAGGGGCAACCACCCCGGAAAATCCCAAAGAACTTTCTCGACCAACGTAGGGATCGAACACAGTACCTCCCGGTTAGCGAGCCAACATCCTACCCATTGAACCACCGTGGCTCCCAGTTTGAATAAAAGTAACAAATGAAATATCATAGTTTGAATAAAAGTAACAAATGAAATATCATAGTTTGAATAAAAGTAACAAATGAAGTATCATAGTTTTAATAAAAGTAACAAATGAAGTATAATAGTTTTAATAAAAGTAACAAATGAATAAAAGTAACAAACGAAATAACATAGTTTGAATAAAAGTAACAAATAAAATATCATAGAAAAAAAGTAACAAACACTCAATGTTTACTAACCTCTATGGTCATCCAGTCTAATTGTAAATTATTAGTTAAATCTAACTGGAGTTGTTTAAGACTTGATGATCTAATATCATGACTTCCTGTAGTAAGACACTGTGAATAAAATGAAAGTAGATCGGTTGTATCATCTCTATATAAGGCCACACCCACGTCTACTACAGATGATTCATATAAACCTTTACCTATCTGAAATAATATATACATATCAATAATTACTTTATTTATATATGGCTTGTTATAATGTAAGACTGTTGTAGTCTGGGGGTGGGGGGGGGATAGCCGAATGGTTAGTGTGTGTGCATTGTATCATAAGGTCTCCAGTTTCCTCCCACTACTAAAGACTCCTATGCACAAGCGATTATTAAAATAAAATTGAAACATGTGTTAGTCCCGAAATGACCTAGTTTGTGTCGAATGGATGTTAAACCCAATTTCTTTTAATCTGACTGAATCCAACCAAATGACAAACAGGGCCCCTAGGACAGAGCAATGTGGTGCGCCTTCTTATCACCCAAAACATTAAAATAAAGTTAAGTTTTTCACCTGGAAAATGAAGTTTTTCACCTGGAAAATGTGCAGCGATTGATTGCTTTATACTTGGAGACCCTATTAATGCCACAGCCATTTATCAACTGCTCAGTGTGCCCATGTAATAAGACAGCCCTGAGACCGGCAGTTACCTTATTCAAACAATGAGGAAAGGGATAGGGAAATGGAGTTTAATGTCCACTCAACTCAAACTAAGTCATTTCGAGACTAACATGTGGTTCAATTTTATTTGAATAATTTCCGGGGATCACGTGACTAAGTGGGTAAGACGCTGGCTCACTAGCCTGGAGGTCGGGTGTTCGATCCCTGCATTGGCCGAGAAAGTTCATCCAGATAGAATGTCCATTGTTCGAAGAAGGTTGGTGGCCGAAATGGTCTAACACATGCCCTTTAGATCATAATGTCTGTCATGAATCGAGTGGCGTGCTTTGCATTCCCAGCTTGTACTTGACAAGGCGTAGGAACACCTGTCCAACATCGTGGGTTTTCTTCGGTTTCCTCCCACTTCTAAAGACCCCTACATGCAGGGAAATTATTGAAATGAAATGAAATGAGTTTTAACGTCCTACTGTTCTGCTCCTATACTGGGCTAATGAAGACGGGCATACGCCATACAGTGTGCTATGAGGGAAAGTTTGCCAGGGCAGCGGCACTATCCCCTACTCTTATATCGAATTCCAACTGCCAAGGGATCTTTTACGTGCACGCCAATGTGTACACGGGACCTCGGTTTTTCGTCCCATCCGAACGACTAGACAGCTTTCCTTGTCAGCCCCTCCGTCCTGCATCACTGACAAGGGAGAACCACGCCGGAAAATCTGGATAACTTTCTCGGCCAATGCAGGGATCGAACACCTGACCTCCAGGCTAGCAAGCTAGTGTCTTACCCACTTAGCCACGTGATCCCCTACTGGGCTAATGAAGACAGGCATACACCATACAGTGTGCTAATAGGGAATCTTGCCTGAACAGCAGCACCAAGGCCTACTCTTATATCAAATTCCAACTGCAAAGTGTTCTTTTATGTGCACGTCAATGTGTACATGCAACCTCGTTTTGTCATCCCATCTGAACAACTAGACAGCGATACATGTCAGGCCCTCCGTCTTGCACCAATGACAAGGGAAAACCACATCTAAAAATCCTGATAATTTCTCTCGGCCAACACGGGACCTCCAGGCTAGTGAGCCAACATCTTACTCGGTGAGCCACCATGGTCCCATACGTAAAAAGACTTACTGTTAAAGTTTCTGGTTGTTGTTTATCAGAAGCTGTTTTTAATAAACCATGTAAAATATCTTTATCTGTTGTATCACAGGGGTACATCGAAACAAGATGGCTGACTATATGACAGAATTTTAAACTCAGCAGACGACATGCTACAAATGATGACATCAGCCAGGATCGAGACAACATTTTCTTAATAATCTGATTGGATGATTCTTTCCTACAAATGAAATTGTTTTTCCGTCAAAATGAAATGAAATTGTTTTTACATCAAAATGAAATGAAACAGGGTTAAACATCCTACATTCCTGTACTAATCAAGTTGAAGATTGAAACATACATACATGTAGGGTGGTGTGAGGACAATTTTGCCGAACAGCTGCGTTTATTTATCAATTCAAACTTTGAAGTGCATGCCAACAAGTTCATCGGGATTTTCCTATGTGATTTCCCCTCGTCAGTGGTGCAGGAAGGGGGCCCGACAAAGACAACTGTCTATTGTCGTTTGGATGGGATGAAAAACCAAGGCTCCTTGTATACACTGGCGTGCACATAAAAGATCCCTTGGCAGTTGGCTATAGTGCCGCTGTCTGGGCAAAATTTCCATCATGGCAAACAGTATGGCGTACGCCAGTCTTTATTAGAACAATAAGATGTTAAACTCCATTTCATTTCATTTCCTGGAATACAATGATTTGTTACAAATATTACACAACATTTCGACATATCTTCCAGTGATTGTATGCCATATAAATGGTTGTGTTTTTTTTTTAAAAAAAAGGGGGGGAGGGTTGGATGGCCGAATGGTTTACACATTAACTGGTGTGGTTTCTATTCCCCGGTTGAACGTGGCAGGGAGTAGGGTCGCCTGTCCAACCTCGTGGGTTTTCTCCAGGTCCTCCGGTTTCCTCCCACTACTAAAGACCCCTATGCGCAAGCGAAGTTATTGAAATAAAATTGGACCTTGTGTTAGTCCCGAAGTGACCTAGTTTGTGTCGAGTGGATGTTAAACCCCATTTCTCTCTCTCTCTTTTTTTTTTAATAAAAAACTCACTTTAAATTTCTGTTGCAGAGTAGTTTTTCAATCAAAATAAGATGTCCATGTAACTGGTTATGATTTGAGAGTTCTTCAATGGATGTTGGTATTCTTTCAATGAGTTCATTTATCCAATCATCAGTCTTGTCTATAGATATCAACGCCACCATTGAAAAAGCAGATAACTCTCGTAGTGAATAGATGGGATTACACAGTAGACAAGATACCCTCTTCCTGAATTCTTCTTGTCTGAAATACAAAATTCATTACAGTTTCAATGGAATATATGGCACCTGCTGGCTTATTACAACCCATCAATTATTGAAACCTAATTTATGATGGCCATGGAAAAAATTATTTATGTGAGAAAATCCTTCAAAAAATCTGAAAAGGGGGAGAATTTATCTTTTTTTTGGTTTTTATTCTGTCAAAGAAACATGTAAAAATGTTTATCATCTGTTCACAAGAATTTACTCATCATCTGTCTGCTAGTTGTGAGTTAGAGAGTGACAGTCAGAGTGAGTGCATGTTAGTTCAGGTGTTAGCTCGACAAAACTATGTCATTTCGGGACTAACACATGGTTCAACTTTATTTCAATAATTCTCTTGTGTGTAGGGGTCTTTAGCTGTGGGAGGAAACTGGAGGACCCAGAGAAAACCCAAGAGGTTGGACAGGTGGCTCTACTCCTTGTCACGTACCAACAGGGAATCAAAACCACACCAGTTGACTCAATGACAGACCTTATGATACAGCGTGCACATGCTAACCATTCGGCCACCAAACCCCCCCCTGTGTTGAGGGAAGCAGGAGAACAAGTGAGTGCATTGGTGAGGGTGTAATGCGAAGGTGGAATGAAGGTGATATTGGTGAATGAATATAGACTATTATAAATCTATTTAACAATATAATTACTAATTCTCATGTGACCAGAGGTGGGAACTCGTGTCCCGCATCATGGACTCAAAGACCTGACTCAACTTGAAATATTTATCGCGACATAACAGTTGACTCAGACTCAGCAGTCATGACAACTTAAGACTTAACTTAGATTCGGTAGTCGTGACAACTGAAGTACACGAGGGGATATAACTCAAACTTGCCTTATTTGCCATGATTTGCAGACTCATTCGATGAACTGGCAACTTGAACGTGGCTTCAACTTTGTGAAGACCTTAGGGACGTGATTCTCCTGCTTGTGACATATCTAAACTTTACTGTCCTGTATGCAAAGCTGAATACAAGTTTATTTACCACCACGGGTTCACTGTGGCTAAGTGGGTAAGACACTGGCTCGCTAGCCTGGAGGTTGGGTGTTCAATCCCTGCATTGGCAGAGAAACTTCATCCAGATTTTCCAGCAATGTCCCCCTTGTCAGTGATGCAGGATGGAGGGCCTGACAAGGACATCTGTCTAGTCGTTCAGATGGGACGAAAAAACGAGGTCCCGTGTACACATCGGTGTGCACATAAAAGATCCCTTGACGGTTGGAATTTGATGGCACACTGTATGGCGTATGCCCATCTTCATTAGCCCAGTCGGAGCAGAACAGTAGGATGTTAAACCCCATTTCATTTCATTTTATTTCATTTCATTTATTTACAACCAAGACTTAATTAATAATTGTCACCTCAGTCTACAAACAAATTCACAAATTTTGAAGTACTAACGAGAATACCGTCCACCTGAGTTTACTGGTATGTTTACTTACAGACTATTATCTTCAGGTGAAGGTGAGAGACTGGATAATATTGTCAACACTAGATATAAGGTAGGGTGGAGTATATCATCCAGTCTTACAACACAATCATCTAACTTCTTTAACAGGAAGGCTGGTAAATCAGGATAATGGGCAGATAACTCTACCACGGTCAGACAACTCCCACTGCCTTTAGGACCAAACATTCTAAGTATCAGTGTACCTGTTTAAAAGACAGTAAACATCAAGTATCCCATAAATAGTTTTTCGATCTTTTGGGTTAAATAAAATAACTAAAACTATTATTAACCATAATCATTCCCTATTTTTCAAAAAACTTTGATAGTCCTTGCCAATAAATGGGAGAGAGTGAGAGAGTGAGAGTGAGAGAGAGAGAGAGAGAGAGAGATTTGGTTTAATGTCCACTGACACAAACTAGGTCATTTCAAGACTAAGATATGGTTCAATTTTATTTCAATAATTCGCTTGCACGTAGGGGTCTTTAGCAGTGGGAGGAAACCGGAGGACCCGGAGAAAACCCACGAGGTGGGACAGACGACCCTACTCCTTGTTACGGATGTACAACCGGGGAATCGAAACCACACCAGTTGACTTAATGACAGACCTTTAATACAACGCCCAAATGCTAACCATTCGGTCATCCAACCCCCACCCCCCCCCCCCCTTCCATGCGGTACAGAAACACAGGTACATTATTAAAGACATAACATTAAGAGAAGCAACAAAAGAGGACGAAACAGTCTTCACAGGATGAAACAATTTGAAAGAATCAAGGCGTAAGAATACACCCATAACAAGATTTCATCCAACACCATTAGGTGGCGCTGGCGAGTTTATATCATCTACAGAGAATGCAGAATTTTTCACAAATTTAAAGCTACGTTCCCAGAAAAGTATTTATCAGGTGGTTATTTCCAATAAAAGTATGGCAATTTTGGTATAAATGGAAAGTAGAGATATCCAGTCTTACTAGAAAAATACTGGATTCCATGAAAAACACTCATGGAGCGCATACAGGACAAAAATTTAAGGGTTTCCCTAATCAACAGCCCGACGATTAGGAGTGTCTGCACGCGTGACGTCCAGGGCTGTCGGTAATTTTTCACGGTTGATTAGCAGCACTGCTAATCAAAAAGTCAAATTTTGCCAAATTTGATTAGCAAATTTAAAAATTGATTAGCAGTTTTTCAGTTTCAACATAAAACACCTAAATAACAAGATATTACTTTAGTTCATAACAAATATGATTAGATTCCATTCTTACTAATCTTAGATTTTTTTAGGACTGCCACAAGTACTTGTGACAGTTTGTGAATGTGATGTAGACATTTAGTTAGGTCTTATGTCTGAAGCCAATTCTTAACAGTGACTTCCGAAGCCCCAATCATTTTAATTGTTATTTTTTGTACGTTAGAAATCTTCGTTAGAAAACAATTTCGTCTGCTTTTTATCGTGTATTGCTTTTTTTGTTCAATCGGGCGCACCTCGATTGACTAGACACACGTGATATTTTACGGGAATTTTTACTTTGATTTATCATTTTACAATACGTTAACATTTATTTTTTTATATTTTATTTACAATACGTAGAGGATACACTGGATTTATTTCTTTCAAAATATCATATAATTTCTTGATGTCTTGCAACGTGAGTGGTACTACGTGATTCCCTGTTTCCGGTTTAATAGTCCCTATTCATAGAGTTATGTCCCTGTATTATATAGTACCGTATAATGAATTGTGTCTGGGTAGTTCGAGAAGAAAATGTCATACGGAGAATTCAGTTTTGTTTATAAAATTTTATTCAACATTTTATACTCGTTGAAATTGTTGAGAAAGCTTTCTAGTCTTCAAATGTGGATTATCCTTGTGTCAATATCCAAAATGACAGGCATATTAATGATTCGCAGTTACTGCGAATCAAAAACTTTAGATTTTAATTTTTGATTAGCAACGGACAAAATATGTATCGCAAATTGCGCTGTGATACTGGTTGTCGGCAGCCCTGGTGACGTCTATGGTTGCACGCGGATATTGAGCGCTTGACATACATGTTGATAAACTTTATGAAGAATTAGACGTACAACACTTTCTGAGATAAAAATCACGGAAAAAGTCGCAGGCAGTGGATAATCCAATAATTTAATTAGGCTTCGATATTTGTAATAGTCAGCGATTAAAGACAACATCGTCTTGTGTATGCAATGAATTCTCCTCCGACTTCGCCTTCGTTTCTAAGTACCGAGAGAGGCAAGTCACGTGACACAAACATGACCTATTTTGACCTATTTTTTATAGCCAGGGTATTCCCCGACAATTGCAGTGTTTTGAGAAGGATTTGAAGCAAAATTATGATAAATTAATTAGTTTGAATATGTTTTTAGTCCAAATATATCATCAAATCACCCAGTTTGTACCTGGGAATGTATCTTTAAAATCATCATTTCTTTGTAAATAGTGAATTTAAATTTTCAATATATTCATTTTGCATTATTCATTTTTTAAATATCATAGCGAGAACGACCAGTTCTTCATCTAAATCTTACATAATGTATCTTTAAATTACCACTTACTAAACAACTGTGAGGAGGCATTTCTAATAGCCCAGGACGGTGATTCAAAGCTCTCGACAACCAGTATTATCATTTTACTATATAATGGCATGAGACTGGATGATAGAGTACTATCACTGAACACAGCTTTCAGTATATTCAAGGCATGAACGGCTGGTAAATCCTGTCTCTGATCCCAATCAGATGGAATAGGCTCTGATGCCAAGACATACAATTTATCAAGCGTGTCATCAATTAGAACATTCTGAAATACAAAAATACGAAAAGAAATGAAATGGGTTTAATGTCCTACTTTTCTGCACCAACTGGGCTAATGATGATGGGCAGTATGCCATCAGGTTAATTTTGCCAAGGCAGTGGCTTTTCCACACATCTGTTCATATTTTTTAACTCCTACCAATAGAACATAATGCGCAGTGTGCTATAAGGGTAATTTTGCCAAGGCACTGGCATTTCCACCGTGGCACATAATGGACAGTGTTCTATGAAGGTAATTTTGCCAAGGCACTGGCGTTTTCACTGTACATACCTGTTTATATTTTATAGTGGCTACCATAATAACATGATGAACCGTGTTCTATGAGGTTAATTTTGCCAAAGCAGTGGCGTTTTCACTGTACATACTTGCTTATATATGAACCGTGTTCTATGAGGTTAATTTTGCCAAGACAGTGGAGTTTTCACTGTTCCGGGAATTCTCGTATTGATGCCCTGCCGTTATTAAGCCCATGAGCTAAATAAGGAGTTTAAATTTCGAATTAAAGCCCATGGGTTTAAATTTAAAATTTATTTTAGAGTGGTCTCCCTTTTAAATTTTCAAACCACATGTGAACTACAGGCTACAAGATGTTCTCCAGTTACACTCCGGTCTTGTACTGCCAGGTGAGGACCAACTCAGTGACGACCCGTTCGAGGATTCAAGTTCAGATGAGGACATTGATGGGTAACAGATGCTCACCATACTAGTAAAAGCTAGCCCTGAGATCTGATTAGTTCAAAGAACTTTGAAATTTAAAGTTTATGGACAGTTTCGTTTTGTTTTTCAGAACATTTATGTGACGGTGTATCACAATTGTGTTTTAAAAACCATTTTTGTTGATGAAATTAATTCGTTCCATTTAAAATTATAAAAAGAACCCAAATGTTTGTCGTTTTTTCCTCTTTTCGAGTTGAAGCCCTGAGCTTAAATTCAGAAGAAATGTTTCATCACTGACATGGTCAAATTCGAAATTAAGCCCAGGGCTTAAATACGAGAATTCCCAGTATATACCTGTTTAAATTTTTTAGCTGCTACCATTAGATCATGATGGACAGTGTGTTATGAGGGTAATTTTGCCTAGGAAGTACGTACCTGTTTATATTTTTTAGCTGCTATCATCAGAACATGCACTATAATAGGTAAACCAGCTGACCTTCTGGTTATGGACGCCATCTTGTCACCACTCTCTAAACTTGTAAATACCTGAAATCAAACCATAAATCCAAATTTCAAAATTGGTATTTATACAATATTGATATGAAATATACATATAAAATATCATCTGTTATACTGGTGTGACACCCATAACAGAGCATTCGTTAAAGAAGCTAAATCTCTTGACTCAATATTTTTCATAATATTCGAAATTAATACCGAATTAGAACTCAATATTGGTCCACATTTCAATCAATATTGATGTTGTTATCTTACCATGAAAATATGGGATCCTTATATAATGGTTTTGAGCACCATTTGTAATAAACAAAGAAAAACATCCCAGAAGACAATGCGGAAGTGAAAATGACTCACAAACGACAAAATTAAATTTAAACAAGCGTCTAGAATGGACTAAGCAGGTGTAAAAGACTGCTGTTCACGTATTTCACATAAAAATTGAATGTCAATCACTTTATTTATATTACATTAATCTGTGCTTTTAGACTTTAAGCCAATTTTTGTTTATTTTAATGTTAAAAAAAAATAGAGCTTCTATGTTCTTTAATTTAAACATACATTATGCAAGAGCAAAATCTGATTATTGCAAGTCTTAAAGGCTCAATACCACTCTTGTTGTAACTGAATAATATGCCCCAATCTTTATTCTTGTCAACAAATTGTACTATTTTAGAATATTTCAATTAATTGATGATACAGATTTCATCTTAACACACCTTATTTAAAATTTTTGAAAAATTCAACATAATGTTTTGAAACGTCTAACGTAAACCTTTTCAAATGAAACTTGTAAAATAGGATGTAATGGATAATTTACACAACAGGAAGGACACTTAAACATCTAGTACTAAGATAGAGATTTTATTTATTTTCGGGAGCTTTCAAGCCAGCAAGAGTGTTATTGTCCCTTTAATTTAGGCTTCAGATGTTATAGAAATTATAAATTAGATCTTTATTTAAACAACAAGCTCAAAATCAACTCTGTAGACCCACGGATGGCTCGGCTACAGCTCGGATTTAAATAGGATTTCACTTATTAATTAATTCAAATATGGCGCATCCTGATGAGAATACGTCAGTTAGATCGAGGCTAAATGATAGAGTGTACTTAGCGAGGCCGCTGTAGAGCGTTTCCGCATGCCATTGAAAACTTTACTTGATAATCGAGATATGTAGGTGGAGTTAACGCCTGTCAATCAAACGATCGGCCAAGGTGAAGGCACATTTCACTACCATTTCTAGTCAAATATTACAACGATGATAACTATGTTGAGAATAAAGTAATTTGACTGAAAATTTCAATATATTCTTCTATCATCATCTACTTTTGAACTGTTATAGCAAGAATGGCCAATTCTCTATAAAAATCTCCTATAATGTATCTTTAATCAAGCCTATCATATATATATTTGGAGACAGTTATTCATGTATCCCATGATTCATTTGTAAAATGAGTGGGAAATTAATCCACAGCAGCCACGGTCTGTCACTGCACAGCCAAATGCAAATTGTTGTAAGAAAAACTTCACTTTAATGGTCAAGACACTACTTGCCATTAGAATCTGATGGTCTACATGTTCCTGAAGCGACGACCGCGAGTTTTACAACATCTAGACGTTGCTAGATTGGTCTTCAATTCCCGAACTTATAGCTATGTTATCACCCTTTAACGCAGAACGATTGCGGCGTCCAATCAGAGGTTGCGACACAAACACACTCGAATCAAACATGGTGATCTCGACGGAAACCTTGACATTGAACGAACCTCAAACTCTGCACCTCGTTTATCACAGGTAGACATTTTAACTGGAAAGCGCGAGACTTGGTATTCGCGATGATCAAGGAATCTGATAAGTTCCCCAGCTGGGTCAGTAGCCAATCGACATTAGTGCCGAAATATACAGGGTATTACGTGAAGGACTTGATAAGATGTACAGAGTTAAAGCAAGATCAAGCCTTCTATAGAAGATGAATGATCTACTATAATTACTCTTCAGGCAAGCAGGAGTAAGCTAAATTATTAACAAAAAGAATAAAGCCTATACAAACCTTCAACAGAAGAGAATATGGAATGTGTTTTAATTCTGGTTGCGACGAGTCCATCAAGGTTAAACAGAATTTCATCAGTCCATTTCTACAACCTTCTATAGCGCCCTGTAAAACACACACAAATACTCAAGTTATACTTTTCAAGCCAAATAATACACATTAAAGATACATGTATCTTATTAATAATAATAATTATCGTTTTCTATAGCGCTGAACATTCAGTCAGTCTAACTGCTCTGTGGCGCTTTACAATGTAAATATGATTATAAAAAAACATACAAATAAACAAAAGAATACAAAGAAATAGTCAAGTTACAATATACAAATGGAAAGTGAAGCATTTACATTATTGTTCATCATTAGTAGTATGTGACAGAGTTGACCAAAATTTCAAAGCACTTTGGTGAAGACAGCATCATGTAACGGTTTTGTAACAACAAATCTTATTAGAACACGTGACCATTAGCAGTACATGTATGTATATGACCTACATGTGTATCTTATTAGTAGTATGTGACAGAGTAGACCACAAATATGCATATTAAAGTTAAAGATACATTATGTAAGATTTAGATAAAGAGCTAGTCATTCTTGTTATAATAGCTTAAAAATAGATAATGTAAAATGAAAATATTGAAAATATCATTCAAATTACAAGTGTTTTGAGTAAATAGTCTTGATTAACAAGTACCATTACTACGATAATAAACAAAGAGAGAGAGAGAAATAGGGTTTAACGTCCACTCGACACAAACTAGGTCATTTCGGGACTAACATATGGTTTAATTTTATTTCAATAATTCGCTTGCGCTTAGGGGTCTTTAGCAGTGGGAGGAAACCGGAGGACCTGGAGAAAACCCACGAGGTTGGACAGGCGACCCTACTCCTTGCCACGTACAACCGGGGATTCGAAACCACGCCAGTTGACTCAATGACAGACTTTATGATACAGCGCGTGCACGCTAACCATTCAGCCATCCAACCCCCCAATAAACAAAGTCTTGATTATCCATTATAATGTTAAATTATTAAATAGTACATGTGTTCTAATCCAATCAATATCTGGACTATCTGCGGCTAAATCTATTTGTTAAGTTTAGCTCAATTTATGTCAAAATCGCTGAGATGTAAATAAGGTTAGGCCACGTGATGGTTGGCGAGATTGTAGTTAGGTTGGGGTAAGCATTGGATCTAGATCTATTTCTAGGGTTAGGGTTGGGATTAGTGCTAGCCCTGTTAACATCTTGTGACCTGTCAAAAATTGAGCTGGCCTTATCATTTAGCACTAACCGATTATCCGCTGGTCTAGAATACATAACTACAATAGGCAGATTTAACTTTTTGTCTCAAGGCAAATATCATACGTACCCTGTGACGACAGTTGGTCAAAACTTTCAGGTAAATATCTCGAATCTGATTGGCCATTAGTTCTACGTTAATTGAACTTGAATCAAGAACAGTTGAAAGAACTTCACCAAGACATGTACAGCACGTCTACAATTTAAAATAATAAAAACTGTTGTAATTACATATCACATTACTAAAAATACAAAAATCCACAACAAGAAGAAATAGTCTATCTGCACCTTGTTAAGTGTGAATCAAAATTCAAATTCTAATACTACAGTCAAACATTGTTGTATGAGTGGTCTTTTAAACTTGTTCCAAGTGGTCTTCTGGTAGGTCGAGTGGTCTTATATCTTGCGATGAGTGGTCTTCGGATGGGTAGAGTGATCTTTGGGATGAGTTGTCATACATTCAGTCAAACATCATATGAAGTGCTCTTAGAATTTGCACAATTGTAAGTTTTTAGTAGCTACTGTGCACAAAGAGTTGCCAGGCAATGAAACATACGTCCACAGCAGCTAAATCGTCCAGGCAGTCAACATGAGATGTCGCATATTTTTACTTTTGTTGGTAATGAAACATTTATAATACACTAAAATCTGATTAAGAGTAACAACTCATTAAGTAATTATCAAAAAATGTTTAGTATACAAAACATTTAACACCATGGATTTAGCTGTTCAAGTTACCAAAAATAATTGAAAATCAATATACTTGTTCGTCTCAAGACCTTAAACTCTGTGTATCAATCTAAAGTCAATCGAAACGATTATATGTAGGCGTAAACACGGTGTATTAATATAAAATCAATGGTCTCTAAAGCATCCACAAGATTTTTCACAGTGATCAAGGGCCATAACTCTGGCAGTAATTATCAGAAATCATTGAAAATTAATAGATTTCTTCGTCTGATGACCTTAAACACTGTGTATAAATTTAAAGTCAATCGGAAATTAATTTAAGTTTCAAGAGCGTCAACAAGCAAGTGTTGACGTCGCACAGACGGACAGGGGGGACAAAAATATACGACCACATTTCAAGATGGGCGTAAAAAGAGTACTTTTTCGTAGTAATCAGGGACCGTAATCCAGAAATTTACGTTCCAACAGGCATCAATATTGTAAGGAACCGAGATCTTTGGGATATAAACCAATATTTTTAGTTTCATCAAAATCTGATAAAAATTATGACCTGTAGAGTGTCTGCTTCGAACTGGGCTAATGAAGACGGGCATACGACATACAGTGTGCTATGAGGGAAATTTTGCCCGGACAGCGGCACTACAGCCTACTCTTATATCGAATTCCAACTGTCAAGGGATCTTTTACGTGCAGGCCAATGTGTACACGGGACCTCGGTTTTTCGTATCATCCTAACAACTAGACAGCTGTACATGTCAGGCCCTTCGTCCTGCATCACTGACAAGGGGGAACCATGCCGGAAACCAATGTTATGTGGATTTTTATGTGGAGATAGAGTTTATTATTTGAAACAAGGGTGTAAGACTGATGGAATTTTTGCTCTTTAAATTTATATCTTTAATTAATTATTGAGTAGTTCATATACATGTATTGTAGAGAAATCAGATCTCATGCACTAAAATTGATACATAAAATCAGATATAATTTGGTAAACATTTAAAGTACATGTAGCTAAGTCTCTAACTCAATATCATTCAAAGTCTTACACATTGAAAACATGAATTATTTGTCAATTCAAATCAACATTGATGTTGTTATCTTACCAGGAAATGGTAGGCTTCTGATATCCAATATTTAAGACAAAATAAACATTTTACCACTGGTACACAAATCGTGTACCATAGTGCGGTTCAGAGTTATTTGTAACAAGTGACCAGAAAGAACGAGGCTAGACATAAAAGACATATTCCACAACTTATGTCAAACGGTGACACCATGAGAGCATGCGCAATAGACTGGAATAACCAGACGCTAGAAATTTTCATTCAGTTGAGACTCATGCCCTATTTCGCTGGACATAACTGATTTGAAGTTAAGAGTCAAAACGAAAACAATTGAATGTAAATCAGTTTATATACAATTAGATTACATTATGTCAATTTCTAGGTCCCAAATATTAGCGATTTAGCTTCTTTAATTCTGGTTTAAAAACAAAATAACCCGTCTGACACTTCTGGTGCCAAGTTTCCACTATCCATATAAGGGTGGTTCTCGACGTCATCGGGCTAATTAATCAACCATTATAATTAAAGATACATTATGGGAGATTTTTATAGAGAGTTGGCCATTCTTGCTATAACAGTTCAAAAGTAGATGATGAAAGAAAAATATATTGAAAATTTCAGTCAAATTACTTTATTCTGAACATAGTTATCATCGTTGTAATATTTGACTAGAAATGGTAGTGAAATGTGCCTTCACCTTGACTGATCGTTTGATTGACAGGCGTTAACTCCACCTACATATCTTGATTATTAAGTAAAGTTTTCAATGGCATGCGGAAAGGCTCTACAGCGGCCTCGCTAAGTACACTCTATCATTAAGCCTCGATCTAACCGACGTATTCTCATCAGGGTGCGCCATATTTCAATTTATCAATAAGTGAAATCCTATTTAAATCCGAGCTGTAGCCGAGCCATCCGTGGGTCTACAGAGTTGATTTTGGGCTTGTTGTTTAAATAAAGATCTAATTTATAATTTCTATAACATCTGAAGCCTAAATTAAGACTTGCAATAATCAGATTTTGATCTTGCATAATGTACGTTTAATTACGTCATATTTGACCAATTAGATAATGACAGCCAAACCCCAAAGCTAGAAAACTATCATTCGACAGACAGCCACTAGATTCCAGAGGGAAAAGATGTAGCAGTTTCTATCAGCGAGTTTGGGTGGATTGGGATTGAGAGAATGACTCTATTGTAATCTATGCGTGTACCTTATGTAATCAGTGCTTGATATAAAATGTAACCAGCGGCTGCCAGGCCGGATACACCCACATTTTCGAGAGATGGATAGAGAACAAGCTAACAAGAAAGTGATTTTTCCTACAATCAAGGGCCATAATTCAGGAAATTACAATTTGATATGCGCATATATCGAAAGGAACCGAGATCTTTGGGTTATAAACTTATATTTCAAGTTTCAACAAAATCGGATAAAAATTGTGACCTCTATAGGGTCCACAACCTTGATATACCATATTTTTACGCTATTTGAGAATGAACGGCAGTCATTTTGTCTGTCAATTTTGGGCTGATTTTCATGAAATTCAAACTCAGTCGTCCTTAGGGTGTATCGGTGATATAATAATACGTTTTTTTAAATCGGATAAAAATTATGACCTCTATAGGGTCCACAAGCTAAAAACGCGATTTTTCGTACAATCAGGGGCCATAATTCAGGAAATTACGGTCCAATATGTGCAAATATCGAAAGGAACCGACATCTTTGGGTTATAAACTTACATTTCAAGTTTCAACAAAATCGGATAAAAATTGTGACCTCTAAAGGGTCCACAACCTTGATATACCATTTTCTTACGCTATTTGAGAACGAACGGTGGCCATTTTGTCTGTAAATTTTGGGCCGATTTTCACGAAATTCGAATTGAGTCGTCCCTAGGGTGTAACGGTGATATAATAATACATTTTTTTAAATCGGGTAAAAATTATGACTTCTATAGGGTCCACAAGCTAAAAACGTGATTTTTCGTACAATCAGGGGTCATAATTCAGGAAGTTACGGTCCGATATGCACGAATATCGAAAGGAACTGAGATCTTTGGGTTATAAACTTACATTTCAAGGTTCAACAAAATCGGATAAAAATTGTGACCCCTATAGGGTCCACAACCTTGATATACCATATTCTTACGCTATTTGGGAACGAATGGCGGCCATTTTGTCTGTCAATTTTGGGCCGATTTTCATGAAATTCAAACTCAGTCGTCCTTAGGGTGTAACGGTGATATAATAATACGTTTTTTTAAATCGGATAAAAATTATGACCTCTATAGGGTCCACAAGCTAAAAACGTGATTTTTTGTACAATCAGGGGCCATAATTCAGGAAATTACGGTCCGATATGCACGAATATCGAA